GGTCTCTTGCACAACTGAGTGAAGAGAACGAGTTGTCTGAATGTGCTTATGGCATTTTAAGATCCAGGCATTAACAATACATTACTGTGAAGAAATGCAAGCGCTCATATCTAGAAATAACTATAATTGATTTCTTAACTATTTGAAGTCAATGGAAAAATTAACAAAGTCAAATATAGTCATCTCTTAAGAAGTCTGCACAACTATTTAAGTGATGCTATTTCCAACTTAGTAAACTCACGTTTTACACAACATGAAACAATTTTATCTGAAAAAATCTGCCAAGTCCACATCTAAAGCATGTCCATAAGTGTAACATCTACACATCTAAATACCTACTATCTAGATAGTACTATAGGGATAGCTACTCAACCACTCCCCTGGGCAGCCTGTTCCAGTGCTTGAAAACATTTTCCAAAAGAATTTATTTTCTAATATCCAATCAAAAATTCCCATGGTGTAACTTGAGCCAGTTTTTTTTTTTTTTTTGTCCTATTGCTTGTTACCTGTGAGAAGAAACTGAAATTCCATTGCTAAAACCTCCTTTCAGGTAGTTGTAGAGTGATAAGGTCCCCCTGAGCCTCATTTTCAACAATCTAAAGAATCCCAGCTCCCTCAGCCACTTCTCATCAGACTTGTGCTCCAGACCTTTCACCAGTTCAGTTGCTCTTCTCTGGACTTGCTCCAGCACCTCGATGTCTTTGAGGAACACAGCCCTTGAGGTGTGGCCTCACTGGTGCAGAGTACAGGGGGATGTTCACTGCCCTGTTCCTGTTAATGACACTTTTACTGATACAGGCCAAAATGCCATTGGCCTTCTTGGCCACCTGGGCACATGCTGGCTCGTGTTCAGCTGGCCTCTGACCAGGCCCTCCAGGCTCTTTTCTGATGGGCAGCTATCCAGCCACTCTGTCCCCAGCCTGTAGCACTGCCTGGGGTTGTTGTGATCCAAGTGCAGGACCTGGCATGTGGCCTTATTGAACTTCTTACCATTGGCCTTTCGCTATTGATCTAGCCTGTTCAGATCCCTCAGCAGAGTCTTCCTGCCCTCCAGCAGATCCACATTCCCCCCCAGCTTAGTGTCATCTGTAAACTTACTGGGAATGCACTCAATCCCCTTTTCCAGGTGATTCATAGAGATATTAACCAGGACTAGTACCAGTACTGAGCCTGGGGAATACCACTAGTGAGCAGTCATCAGCTGGAGTAATTCCATTCACCACCCTCCTCTGGGCCTGGCTCTCCAGGCAGTTATTTTGCCCAGTGAAGAGTGCACCTGTTCAAGCCATGAGCAGCCAGTTTCTCCAGGAGAATCCTGTGGGAAACAGTGTCAAGGGCTTTATTGAAGTTTAGGTAACCACATCCACAATATACTGTTTCAAGTTTAAGACTGCATATTAAGTATTTTTATTTTGAAAGAGATTATCTACAAATTAAATGGAAAAATCTTTGAATGAATCTGCAGATGTTTTAGATGAAATGATGAAAATATATGAGCACATTTCACTCCTTCTGCCCTCTTCCCCTTTATCATTCAGAGCAGGATGTATGGAAGGGAAAACCTTTCTAGCATTTCTGAAAGGAAAAGGTGACTTTTCATTGAGGACTTAAGTGATAGGAGAGACATGCTTTACTGTGAGCATTGGCAGGCCGTAGGGTGATATAAAATGGAAGCTCTCACTGAAAAGCTGAAGGGCCAGAGCCTGGAGAGTCAGGCTGAAGACTAGATAAAGAAAGGATATTTGAAATGAAAATGCCTGGTATTATTTTGTCAAGCAAAATACCCTTCAGAGGCACTTTCTTTTCCAGAGTGCTACCAATTCAAGTGTGTTCCTTCCAGGTGCTATTCTCAGTCTGTGCACCTTCTCATATACGTACCCAGACTCGGCCTGGCTTACTGCTCTATGGAAAAGGAGAGGAAGAATGACAGAGTTGCTTCCCAGCCAGCCAGTTCACTGCTGCATGTACACAGTGTGGTCTGCTTGTTTACCCTTATTAACTGACAGAAAATAAATACAAGTCTTTGGTGCTTATTTATACTACGATCTGTATTACAAAATTGATTTATTTGAAATCAAAATTATAATTTATACTGAAAGATGGTTGCTTTTCAAATTGAAGTGGTAAAAATAGTCTTATATTGGAAACTGAATGGGCGAGACCACTCACTTTATATCTCTTTAACTTTACTGTTGTAATTCTTTATCCTGTATTTCAGCTTTGCTTGTCTGTTACACACATCTGAGCTCACTGTATATTAGTTATGTGCAGCTGTGTTGGACTGACGTGTGCTCACATTTTAATCTTAGTCAGCAAAGTCTGTATATGTGCTATGTGCTGCATGAGCTCCAAGAATAGCAGCATTACAAAACATTTGCTGCTTTCTTATTGCTTCTAGGGTATTTTTTAGAGTTTTCACAATTTTCTTATTAATTTGAGTTAATTGATCTGCTTGGAAAACCTGAATGCCCTGCAACATTTGGAAATCCCACAGTGTAGTGTTACAGGACTGTCTTTGCCAAAAGGATTTGGTTAATGTCACAATAGACTGACACTTGAAGCTGAGTTGATCCTTGCATTTGGATCAGATACTCAGCCAGCCTTTAGCACTCAGAAGATTTGCCTGCAAAATGGCTGTGAGGGTTTTCTTTGTTCCCTAGAAACAAAGTGTCCTGTAGTATCAGACAGATAGGACAGATATTATTGTGGCAAAACAACAGGGTAAATTCTGAATTTTACAAACATGAAGATGTAGTTAGATATTAAAAGCATACATAATGAGGAAATGCACCATGCATGTATCTCTGACACTTGTCACTGAGAGATTATTTGGGGTATTTGGTAAATATATTTTGGAGTTTTTGAGAACAGGTAGCCTGAAGCTCTACCAAATGGCTTCAAGGATATCTTTCTCTGAATGGCTTGATAGAGGTCAGCATATCTTGATATTGGTTTTACCGGTTTTTTTTGCCTGTGGAGTATGATTTATCCTTTAAAGAGCAGGAAGCACTCTTTCACCAAAATCTAGCTTTTTTTTAGGAGGAATACAATGTATGCTGTGATACTGTGCATCATGTTTGACTCTTTGACAGTGTTTGCTGTCTTTTGCTTTAAATAGCATTGAGAGATACCTTATGACATGCTAATAAACTCCTAAGATTTTGGAGATGTTTCATTTTCTTATGCTTGAGTATTGTTCTCTGTAAAAAATGAAAATACTATACAATAGTAATTGGTAATTATTAGCCTTCTCACACCTGGACACATGTTAGTGAGTTCTCTGGTCTCAAGAACTGTTGGGTTTATTTGGAAGTTGAGAGAACTGAACCATCCTGGATCTTTCCTCTGAGGTTTGACTGTTTTAGAACTATTGAGTATGATATAATGTAAAGTCCTCTAGAGTGTGTGCTAGAAAGGAGCTGCATATTCATAATTTTCTGTGAATCTTTTTTGTAATGGTTTCTTGTTCAGGATTGTCTGGTTAATTCTTGTATCTGGACTCTTTTTTCTGTGGCTTCAAAATAGTATAATTGGCAGTATTTGGAAAGAGTGCTGGCTTAGTCTTCATGAAAACAGAACATTCTGGAATTGAGTTTTAATTCAGGCGAATGGAGATTTTCAGGATATTTATTTCAAAGGAGAGGAGCTTCCTTCCAAATGTCTGCTTCTGGCGGGATGTGAGGAGCACAGTGCTGGCTGGATGTGCTGGCTGCTGGAATACTGCACAGGACTGGCTCTGCTTTGCCTGCCTGTGCTGAGAGCACAGTGGGGCTTTTTGAATTGCTGCTCAAAATGATTCCCTGTGGGAATGTTGAAGGGAAGGATTAATGGAATTAATTCTTGCTTTCCCTTGTTGCTTGAGGTGTAATAGGAGGCAGTTCCTCATTTTTGAGAAGTGTAAGTACAGAATATTTTTGTTGACTGGAAGTCCTTATGCCTTCTAGACATTTTCCCATAAGATGTTAGGGTAATGTTAACATCAGGTTAAGAGAGTACTTGAGACATGTCATCTTTTCAGAGAAAGAGCTAAGAGACACTTGACTACCCAAGAGGAGGTAGGACAGTTGTGTGTGTTATTTGTTCCTCTGATCTCCTTCCTGTATTCCTGTTGCTTCCTCTTGTTCAAAAGCAGTACAGCATTTCCTCAGGAAGCTCTTTTCAGAATTTTGAGGTTCTAAACAGTATAAGTGCCAAACTAAAAGTCTTCAAAAAGTAAACACCCTCGTGTATTTTCTTTCCTTAATATGTATAATTTTTTTATATTAGACTTGTCTAACTGGGTTGTCAAATTATGCTACTGCATTTAGGAAAAATAAGGAGAACAGCTTTAACAAATGCAGAACTGAGTTTATGGGAATATGCCAGGCTCTGGTTATTCATTTATATTCTGCAGGAGAACCTGTTTTATTCAGAGCTCTTGGAAAATGTTCATGGAAACTTTTAGGGAATTAGGACAGCTGGTCTAGCAGACTTTGAAGTCTGCAACACAGCCAGCTGGTCGGCATTCCCAGTGCCAACTGGCTCAGCAGCAAGTAGAGACAGCAACTGTGATTTTGGCTTAGGAAACCCTGTATATATAGAAGATGACTTGATGACAGGCAAGACTCAATAAATCTGGTGACATAACTGAACTTTGTTAACCAGTGTTTGCTCTGTTGGGATTAAACATCCCCCTATGTTTTCAATTGAAACTCATTATTTTTTCCTGTATTTTCTTCCTTTGGAGCAAGAACTTAGTATGTTCTTCTCATTGACTGTCTTCTTTTGGAATATCTGTCAGAACATTACTTTAACTGATGATTAATTAGATTTCAGCTACTATATGTCATTGCTGATCTTTAGTCATTGTCAAATTTCAAATGAAATGTCATCTGGAAATAAGTCATATGCAAAGCTACAGGAGTTTGGCTCCGCATCTGTCAGGAGAATTTGTGAATAATCTGATTTTCTGAGAGGTTGTGGATTTCTCACTTCATTGACTGATTCTTTTTGCCTTATAGTACAAAAATAGAGAAGGAGAAAAAAGAGCATGCTAAGCTGCATGGGATGATTCGTACAGAAATAAGTGGAGCTGAAATTGCAGAAGAGATGGAGAAAGAAAGAAGGTTCTTCCAGTTACAGATGTGTGAGGTAAGATTCAGTGTGAAACTATTATTGTTCTGCTGCTGTTTTAAGGAAAATTTTGAAAAATGCAATTGTTTAAGAGTAGCTGTGATATTAAAGGAAAATGCCAAGTTATTTGTTGACTCCATGTGTGAAAATACAGTATTTTATTATCCTGGTGGGCAAACTTTGCAGGGAATTTAGATGTTTTCTGATTTCATTTAACAGGTAAATTAATGCAAATAAAACACTAAGAGACTATAATAAATAAGTCTTTACACTACTACTTCACTGTAAGTTATTTTAAGCCCTTGATTGTTCTCTGAATTGCTCCCTGTGCTGACAGCTGTTATTAGGAAGAGAGGCTCTAGTCTAGCACACTGCTGGGCTGGTGCAAGAGAAAAGTGCTAGGGATGGAATCCAGTTGTCTTTCAAGGTGTTTCAGAATGTTTCAACTTCAAAATCTCTGTGATTTTGCAGTATGTTAAACCTGATGTGAATATTTTTATGATGTGAATATTTTTATATGATGTGAATATTTAAGGATATGTCTGGTTCTGTGGTTGGGAATTCAAGTTGCTGTGTTCTTTTTTAGTACACATTAGCCCAAAAATACACCATGCGTGTTTCTACTGCCTTTCATGTGATGATGATAGCTAATTTGACTCACATGCCAGCATAGCATAACTGCAGTTGTCTTGAATATTACTTTTAGTAACTACAGCACTCTTACATAAAGAAAAGCTTCACATTGCTATACAGAATCAGACTAAAATTTTCAAAACTGATAAAGGATTTGAGTAACAAATAAACATATGGATGTTGTCAGCTAATTGCCCATCTGTGTCCTTCCTAAGAAACAACTACCAACAGATGCTTTTCTCTTGCTGTGTCGCAATAAAGGAAGTTGTAGTGATAATGCAGGGTGAAGACTGTGAAATTGGTCAAATTACCTTAAATGTGGAATAGCTGAAGTATATCCTGTCTTTCTTTTGATTTTGTGGAAAAGAAGTTTCATGAATAGTCATGAAAGAGGACTTTGGTTTTGTTGTGATAGTAAATCAGAAGGCTGACCTATTGAAGTTTTCTCATAAGTACAGACTATTTCTGTATAAATTATGGAAGTGAACTGAATACCAAATGCCGAGAGCTCCATTTTAAATTAACAGGAGCGGAAGAGGTGATTGTTGTAACTAAATACTATCCAGTGCACATGTCTACATTTAGGCTCATCGTTTGTTCACCTGAACCAGCATAAGAAGTTGCAACATTGAAAGCTGGCACTTGGATGCTCCTTTACTTTGGTTGATTTAAAACATTTAGGGTGTACTGTGAGTAGGGGAAATCCAGATGCATTAGATGCATTAGAGCATCATTAAGTAAACATTCACTCCATCACTTGGAGGTCACTGGCTAAATTGTGGTCAAAATTTGTTGGCATTTAATGGACAGTTCAGGACCTTGATGGTTGATCAATCATATTTCTGCTTGCATGGCTGCCATGTTGTATGCTATGATATTCAGGGGAGGAGCTGCCACTTAATGTGGACTTTGATTGTGCCTTATGCAAAAGGACAGTAATTACAATTCTTTTGCAATTGACAATATATTCTTTGAAAAATCTCTTGCTAAACTGTAATTTGTTGTAATTACCACGTATAAGGATTTGATAAAGAAAGTGATAAAAGCAACAAGCAGATTTTAAAGTTTATTAAAATAATCCCTCGGCGTTTTTTTTAAGCAAAATTATTTTCTCCTTAATGATGTCTGTTTAGCAATTTATTTAACAACTAGTGAGATACATTTTTAGGTGTGCTGCTACTTTTAAGAATGGGTTCCTAAATGTACTCCACAAACCCTTTCACACTTTCTTTAAGAGAGGCTTTCCTTAGAAGCCCCGAAGGATATTTTAACAATTTGAACAAATTATAATGAAATATCCTCACAGGATATCAAAAGTCAGCAGTGACAAGAATTCTTTTTGTGTGATTTGACTCTTAAAGCCACTTTTTGCTGCATTTTATTTAAGTTTCATAAATCTGTGACTGTTAAAACTTGTTGAAATATAACTGAAAATAAAGTGTTAAAAAAATAACTAATTTTTTTGTGAATTATTGTTTTAACAGTACCTGCTGAAAGTCAATGAAATCAAGATCAAAAAAGGAGTGGACTTGCTTCAGAACTTGATCAAGTATTTTCATGCTCAGTGCAAGTATGTTTTACTTTTCTTTATCTCTACACTAACTGGAACAATATTATGCTTTCACCTTTTGACATCATCATAACACTTCTCTAGAATTTTCAAAATCTTAAGATTCAGCTGTTCTTGCTGATGTCTTTTGACAGATTGCTTTTTTTCAGATTAGTCATAGCTTTTGTTACTATATTCTGAAACATGTGATGAGGTAGAGCTTGTTACATGGAATGTAATTGTATGTTCCAAAGGAATACTGAACAATAATTCGCCCTATTCATAAACTATACTTGAAATAGGGGTTTTAGTTTGATCTGTTACTTAGTGGTCCATTAATTTTGATGGACTTGAGTGTGTCTGACAATGATCTAAATTAATTCTGTGCTCAAGAAAAATAAGTTGCATAAGCAGTGGAATAAAACTATATTGAAAGAGGCACTCTTTTCTGGTTTATTGGAGGGGACCCAGTAGTAAAACACAAAGTTGTCATTAGAATTATGTGGTTTTTGTTATGATTGTGTTACAAATCTGTCATGTAGCAATGAAGTCACAGCTGTAAACTTGAAAGAGCCACTGCTAACCTGTTGAAATCAGTTAAGTTTTCATCTTAAAACACCAGTCTGCATCTATGTATTTTTTCCTTAAGTAGCTGTGTTGCTTTTAAAATCAGTTTCACTTGTAGCATGTAATTCATCTGCTCTGTTTAATAAAATTTTGTGCAATTGCTGTGTTGTGTTATCACTTTCATGACTGCTTCCCAGAGTGAAAATATTTTATGTTGCGAACAGTGCAGCAATATTCAATCAAATATGCATGTAACTGTGATTTCTTAAATTTTATTTTTTAAATCTTAAAGTATTATTTTTTAAAAACTGGAATACTTGGTATACATGGCATTACTTTGCCAATATGAAATGCATGTACTACAGAAAGATGTAGCATATTCAACTTGCATATAGACCATAATTAATGCTTGGGAAACAAGGGGGTTTTCCTTTAGTAAAAAGATTGCATCAGACATAAAATTATGTGGCTTCAAGAAATCACAATTATTTTATATCTACCAGAACTTTTGCTGTTCTGCAAATGAATCTTACTTGTTCTGGGCCTTCAGAAAGTCTGATGAGAACTTGTATTTGAGGTGAGAATAAGGAAAATTTATGTGGCAGTGGATTGTGGCATTTCTGAATGTAGTTGGGCATTTTGCATGTTAGAATAAGCTATGATGGAAATAAAGAGGTGGATCAGTCAAAGATAGATTAAAAAAGTTTACTGTCTTGGTAATAAAACTGTTAAGTTAATGGCATGGCATAATAATATGCATGTCATACTTTGGCAACTTTTTAAGCAGAAAATACGAAGTAAAGTTTCATAAACAGCTTGCTTTTGCTTTTCTTTTTAAGTTTCTTTCAGGATGGGTTAAAAGCAGTTGAAAGTCTCAAACCTTCAATTGAGATGCTCTCGACAGATCTTTATACAGTGAGTAGCAGCATTTCATGTTTGTGTGGTAAATTTAGTTTTTTACAGTAGAAGCATGACCATTTTGGTTCAAGTTGCCTGACTGCTTTAATAGTCAGCATTTAAGGTTTAGAGTAGGTTGTTGGTGAAATCGTGTTTTAATATGGCATTCAGAAGCCTTAGTTTCAGTTCAGGACCCCACTGTGTAAAATGTTATGAAAACAGCCTTTGCTCTGAAGTGTTTATTAAGTGGAAAGTAACATATGATTTCAAATGGAACACAAAGAAGCAAGGGCATTGTGAGGCAATATCAAAGTCTTAACCCAGCAATATCCCAACCATTATCAAGTTTTCTGAAGATGAAAGGGAAAATAAACTCATCACATTATCTTTTTTCTTTGCTTTCGTTCTTGCCGAATATTCTCAAATAATGTACCATTTAAGCAGCAAATTTGAAAGACTTGCATTAAAAAAAAAAGTTATTTTTAGCCTGTGTTTTTCTTCATTCAAGATTAAACAAGCACAAGATGAAGAACGAAGGCAATTAACACAGCTCAGAGATATTTTAAAATCAGCACTCCAAGTTGATCAGAAAGAGGTGAGCATATAAGGTGGTTTAACTTTGGAATACCTATTTTAATTCCTTGTAATGTAATGTTAATATTCAAAATAAAGTTATTTTAACTTTTATCAGACATTTAATTATTTTTGTTCATTCATCTTTGTTTTGATGCCAATGTTGAATGTTTCTGACAAAGGCATTTAAAAAAAAAAAAATGCCCACTAAAAATATGAGACTTAGTGAAAAATAATTTCTTTTTGTTATCACTATTGTAAAATACTTCAGATGGTGCTCTGTTGTTCAAACTGACAATAAAAGAACTTGGGCAGTATCAAGAAGACCCTATTCATAGACCCTTATCTCACAATATTATTCTAAACTGTATAATGATTATGTAAAACTGAACTTCAAACCCAAAACACCTCTGTCATCATCTGCAAAAATGACAATCAAGTTTGCTATTCAGCTGCAAAATGCCAGTGTTCAGATGCGCAAGAGCTGGATCAGTTTGGCAATCTAATAAGTATTTTTTGAGTTCCAATCACAATTGCCATTAGATTTAATGACTTCTGGAGTAGTTCAAACTCTGATCTGGAAGTAAGCATCTTTTGTATTATGTAATCCTAAATATGGGATCTACCTTTGTTTCAGATTGCTAGTGCCTCCTCTTCATATAAATAAATGCCAGCCAGCTTCCTTTGTGTGGCTGCTGGGCCATGAATAAGTGATGAATGAACCCTCCAACCCCGCTTTCAGATTCTCTATCTGAGAGGGATCACAATGAAATAGTTTAGTCTACAGAGCTCAGACTTCCTTGATCATTTCTGGTCTTGCTTTGATCTTCCCATGAAAGTTACAGTGATTGCTAGCTTTTACTGGTCACAGATGATGGTTGTTGAGCAATGTAATCTAGTGAAAGATGTCCTTACCCACAGCCAAGGGTTGGGCTTGATGATCTTTAAAGGCCCCTCCCAGCCCGAACTCCTGTGATTCTGTGACTTGCTGACAAGCATTTGGGTCGGTCTGGAACGCTCTTCACTTTGTTACCTTGGGAAGTTTGTGATAAAGACCATTGTGTACAAAGTCTCATAAGATCATCAGGCACTTCCTTAGATTGTGCTTGGCATTCAGGACTCACTGATTTGCCAAAAACTTCCAAATTTGAGCTTGGTAGAATGAGAGACTAGGGAACCGTGTGGAAATGGTGACTGCTTTGGCTTAGCCATTGATTGCCCACTCCCAAAAAGGAGCCTTTGCTGTTTAGGGTGTGTTAGCAGGTGTCCTCTTTTAACTGGGTCTGTGCTCAAGAGAGCTGACAGAAAGTAGTTGGATTTCATGGTTGCCAGGAACATCTATCAGTGATACTGATATTAAATATATATATGGAAGATGTGACAAGTACACAGTTTTTCACAGACTCAAAAATTAATAATATACATAAATTTAGTATTTATACTGGGTTTGTGACATTTAAACATACAGTTATAAAAAGTGCTTTATGCTATAGTCATTATTTATTAATTCTTCAAATTTAGATATAGATGCTTACCTGCAGAGCATGAGAATTAATATAATTATTTTTAAAGCTTTTTGAAAACATCAATTAATCAGTGGGATGCCAAAGAGTTCTTATATCATTTACTGTACAACCCACTAATATTATTCTTGTTGCACTGTAATTTTCTTTACTATAACTGATTTCTTTTTCCTTCCTGAAATGCATTTACATTTTGTGACCGAAGTCTAGGAGAGTAAGTGTTACTATATTTTAATGAAAATAGTGGCATGATTTCCATTCAAATTACAAGAAACTGGATTTTTCCTCTGAGCTTTTGTCTGTTGGCATGAAAAGACTGGTTCTTTCTCCTTTTTAGTGTGTTTTATTACTGGGGGGAAAAACAGTAAAAAAAGAAAAAGAAAAAAAACATTATAAAAAAATTTATCAGATTTTTCTTGGGAAAGAAAATTATTGTAAGACGAATTGGTGATTTCCTTTGTACTTTCTTTTGGAAATTAAATCCAGTTGCTTGATTTGATGTTCTTGTAAGATTTTGAAGGTATATGTATTTTTATTTAAAATGGAATTCACGTATGGAATGACAGGACGTTGACAAATATTGTTCCTGTTGTGTTTAAAAAATTGAACACACACAAAAGCAGTCTTAGTGAACCTTTTTTTGTTGTGCCTGTATGCATAGTTTCTTCCTACACACAACTTCCTCAAACCTGGTTTGTATTGAAATTCTTTTTGAAATGTCATTTTGTCTACACCTTCATAATTTTTAATTTTTAAGCTTTCATTTTTCAAAGGTAGAAATTCTGCAAGTTTCAGTCAACCTTAGAGTTGTCTTGCCTTAATTGTTCTTGTTCCCATTGCCTTGGATGAGGTCACCTCCTGTGACTGTAGTGTTTAGATTTGTTTCTGCTTCTTTGGTAGAACCTATAATCTATTGAGGCCACTGCAAAATAGGATAAATGTTGTGTTTCTTGACAAAAATTAAGGTAGTTTGCTATAGGAGAGGCTGCCTGCAGGGGATTCTGATAGATACATCTTATGGAGACTTTGTGGGGCTATTATAGGGGTAGGGATGGGATAGATAAGGGATAGATCTCTGGAGCATCCTCCTGGGAATGATCCTGCAAATGTCAGAGAAGCTTAGGCTCTGGGAGAGTCCTAAGAGCTTTTTTTGGCAGCTTTACACACAGGAGTGATCTAAACAGTCTAAAAATCCTGCTCCATGGGAGCTGTGGAATGGCTAGCCAAAATTGGTTGTGTATAGGTTGAAGCACCTTGTATGAAAAGTTCTGTTGTGTAGTGGGGCTGATAAATAGGATCTGAGAATATTTCTTATCAGTAGTCACAGACCATCTTTAGAGAATACTGTTTTCACATTTCTTTCATTTTTAGCTCTGCTGTTCAGCTTGAAGAACAGTATATCTGTTCTGACTTAAAGTCAGTATATCCTTATAGACTTTGGAAGAAAGAATTTCAAACCTTTCTATGGTCAGGAAGTGATTCACTAAGAACATGCTGCAAATTTTTAATGACTCACCTCTTTTTATATGCCTATCTGCATTTCAAAGCTGATAAAGTGGTCAAGGTTCAGTTCCTCAGGCTTGTGTACTTCAGCCTATTCTGATCTTGTTATGCTCAAGATATATTTAAAATGACAATACTCTGCACTAGGTGTGTGTCCTCTAGCCTGAGCGATCCATTTCCTCCCCTAGGTAATGAGCATTGTTTCTGCTCCTCCAATGAGACTATTTGGTCTGACCCTGTTTTCTGTGATTTGTATCTCTGTTTTGTGCAGTATGCAAACCAGAAATAAGGGAAGATCCTTGGAGAGCCTGCTTATGGAAAAGACATGCTGAAAGGAAAGATGTTAATTGTGGTGGTGATTTGTGGGGTGGTTACCATCTCTTAGGAGCTGGATCAAAATCATGAGCGTCTTGTCAGATGCCTGTAGAAAACCATCATTTGGCAATCATGCTGGACAGTATTGATCTGGACATGACCTGAACTGAGAATTTTAAATGGACAATGTGTTTGTCCTTAAGATCTTTTAATTAAATAGTATTAAATTTTTAAGATACTGTTCATAGTCATGAATGTGTGGAAATACACGTCAGCTGCTGCAGCTTCCTCTCCTGCTGAAATAAGGCAGGAAGCTTGTATTACTGGTTTGCCAGTTTGGCCAAACACAGCAGCTGAGCATAAACAGATGAAGGGAGGTAGCTGAAATGAGGCAGAAAATAATGCACAAAAAGTAGCAGCACAGCCTAAAGTAATGGGAATGGTGCTATGAGCAGGTGCTGGAGGTCATCAGCAATCTTTACATAATTGAGGATGGGGGGAACTGAAATTAATTTCCTGTCAGGCCTCTAATCTTGGGAATGGAGTTCGTTTACTGCCTAATGGGAGGCAGAGATCAAGGCATTGGTAGGGTACAATAGGCAGTGTCAGATCAAATTTTCTTCAAAAGTCAGTAAATGTATGCATGCACTGGTTTTTAATGAGTGACAGGAATATTTTTAAAATGTTGTTCTGGCTTTATGTTGTGCAGAGAGCAAAAACCCAAATTATTCTATGCAAACAAACTAGAAAGGAATGACAAACAACTGGTTTAAATCTGAAGAGATGCTTTGTCAGGCACAGACAGCTAAGTGGTAGTTCTTTAGGGCCTTTAAAAGGCTCAGATGATGTTGTAGCTACCTGGTATGGCTTCCTGGATCACTTGCTGAGAGGCAGGGAGAGGGCACAGGTTGCTTCCCTTGAAAATGAGCACCAAGGAGTGCTGCAGCCTCTGCGGCACTCAGCTCATGACTCTTTGGACTACTGAGCTCCAGCACTATTCAGAATGAGCCTGAAATCCTGCAGCTTGGAGGTGTGGATTGCTAAGTGCTCTGAACTGGGGTGTTGGTAGGAGCTCTGTCCTTACCATCCTGTTTAGAATAGCTCATAGTCACATAGGTGAGCTGCTTTGTGTCATTTTTCCTTACTATACTTGTATTATACACCATATAGAGCACAAGAGTAATTATGTCCATAGAGCAATCACAGTAGAAAAGAAAAAAATGAAAATTTAAAGTAATAGTCATTGTTACTGTGTGCATTAAAAGTCCATTCTGTCCTGTTACTGCTGTTAATATGGTGTGACACATCAGAGTCCTCATTTTCAGGATCTTACTTTTTACGAAGTTGAACTCTTGCAGCAGTGGGTCCTGCCTCCGGGTAGTTCTGAGAGCAGTGAGAAGTGAATTAATCCTTGTCTCTTCCTGTCTCAGATTTCTACTTTCTTCCAGATATTTTGCTTTAAGTTATTCTTTTTTGGAAATGACTTTTCAGTTTTCCTGTATGACTCCCGAACTATATTTCCAGGAGGATTCTTCTGCTTTTCAGACAATAACTTGACTCAGTTTCCACAAAGAAAATCACTTCTTCAAACTGATATATGTAATTATTTTTTCAATGGAAGAGTGCACTACCAATTGCAAGTAATAATAGTCTTTAATGTTTGTACTTTGCAGTGTGGAAGGCCACTGCTCAATTAGGTTTTGGGTTAAAACCCTTATATATTGAGGCCAAGAATAAATCTAAATAAAAGCAAGTAAAAAGATTTTGGCAGGTGCTCATAATGAATGCTTCTCAAATGGTTTTGTGCCCTCTGAAAAAATGAATGGATCTTGTTCTCTCTTGCTGAGGAAGAAAAGTGTGTTTCATTTGGCCTGTAGGATTAGAGCAGGAAGGAAAAGCTCTGAAACTCATTAATGGGGGTAGTGTGTTTGGAAGTGTGGAATGCATCACAAATTGTTGATTATTTCAGGATTCTCAGATTCGTCAGAGTACAGCTTACAGTTTACATCAGCCTCAGGGAAACAAGGAGCATGGCACTGAACGGAGTGGCAGTCTGTACAAGAAAAGTGATGGGTAAGTACTGCTGGAGTTTCCTGGGAGAAATGTTAGGTCCTAAGAGCTCAAGCAATAGTAATGCAAAATATATTTAAAACTGTCACCTCTTTTTTTTTTTTTTTTCCCTTTAAACTAGAATCAGAAAAGTGTGGCAGAAAAGGAAGTGCTCAGTTAAAAATGGTTTTCTTACAATTTCCCATGGTACAGTAAGTATTTGTTTACAGTATTTTATGTACGTGGTTGCTAATACAGAAATGCGAGCTGTGCTGGTCTATATTTATGATTTGGAATTAGCTAGAATCCTGATGCAGTGTTTTGAATGTGAAGGATATGTTTTTTAAGGCAGCCTCTTAGAAATATATCAAGACATACACAGTATCTAAAAATACAGCTATTTTAATGTTCATGACTGTTAATGGGAAAAAAGGGCTTTTTTAGTGACTCAGTTCATGTAAATGTTAATATTTTATCAGGCTATCTAAAAATACAAATTCTAACTTTTTTTCCCATTTTTTAGAGATGAGTTAAACAACTTATGTTTGCAAGATAAACTGAGAGCATGCTGAATTGCTTTTCTCCCCCAGATTTGCTGCTGTATGGTAGTCTGCTCCTTATGGTAGTAAGCTCCTTAGGAGGAGCTGTTGGGGAAAATCCAGTCTAAAACAACGCTCCCAGAATGACAGAAAACAGAGAGTTTAAAATTCCTCTTTACTGCTACCAATGTTTGAACACATTAACTGTAGCTATTACACATTTGTTAAAATTTTAAAACTTTATGCTTTCATGGTTTGGACCTTTTGCACTTTACCTTCAACTTGGTTTTGCTTTTCTGTAACATTTTTTATATCGTTTTCTCAAAAGTTTTAAGAAAGTTTGTTGAGGCAAAAAATAACACAGTGACAGTATTTCCCATTCTTGGTCTAATAAACAGTCCTGTTTCTTGGTCCTGTTATGAACTGTTCTGTTCTTCATCCTGTTATGCCTGTTGCTATGACTACAAGTTGACCCTGGCAGCAAAAATGAATCAATCTCTCATTTGTGCATCTAACCACAAGCTGCTGCCTTCAGAACTGATAATCAGGAATTAAGGAAGAGCATAAAGTCAGGCCTACAAAGCAGAGTCATTACTATGGCTTTGGAATTGTCCACTTGTTTGTGCCTCTTCTCAATTGAGTGTGTAGGAGTGTGTCTTTGTCAGAGAGCAGTCTGGTGTATTCTGTGCTGGTGTCTCCATGTGCTGTGATTGTGCTTGATGTTGGACATGCTGTACTGGTACCAGTAGGAATGTAGTTGGGGCAGCTCAGAGCTGTCAGAGGCTACAAAATCCACTTGTGGAGCAGAATTTGAAAACTTTCACTTGCAAGTAGTTACTGAGTCTATCAAGATACTGTTTTCTTCTCTTTTTATAAGCTGTCTACCAGATGGCCTGACATTTTTAGAAGCAGTAAGTTCCCACTGAAATCAGTGCAGCTGGAGTTTGAAATCAGTTCCTAAGGCAGATACTCAAATGTGAATTTAGATAGGTGCGTTTCACAGGTATGGTCTCGATATTTTTATATTACAGCATTAGAGAAGTCCCTTCTTGTTTTAAAATATACTCCTGAAAGGTATTTTCACTTATTTGCTCACCTCTCCATTATAATATTGATGACAGCTTTATATAAAAAAATCAATGAATGTTTCACAGACACTGAAACAGGCAGAAGTGATTTTTGTTCATTAAAAATTTTATAGACTGCTCTGAATATCGTTTGAGAATTTGGAAGGAACAACTTTGATTTCTAAGCTTCTCAGAGTTGATATCTCCTGAAATATGATGTGCTGTTCTCTCATCCCAACAGTTCATCAAAATCTCAGAAATTCAGTTGTCAGCTTTGCTTTCTTTATCAAACACAAATTTGTAAATACTTCTCATTAAGGGCTAAGTATTCTTCATGGATTTCCTTTCTTTAGTCATGTAGCCTCTCTTTGTGAGGGACTACTTTGTCAGTCTCTAGAACAGCTATCTTCAGGCAATTGCAGTGCTTAAACTTGCCTGCCAAGTACTCCTGATGGATGGACAGAATATGTTTGCTTCTCTGTCAGTCACCCAGCTGTGACCCTGTATATGCCTGCCTGCATTGGCATATGTGCAGAAGTTATACTTTCAGACAACTTAAAGCTTCAAAGAAATCAGCATTCATACATTTAACATACATGGATGAAAAAACAATGATAGAAGAAGATTGAAACGTAATTAGGAATTCCTAGGTCCTTTCCAGGTCAAGAAGCTAAAAGGCAAGAAGATTTCAGAAATATCAGACTCCTCAAAGCTGGATTTGTGTTTAAAGAAGGTTCACTGGTTGCTTGCAAAGAAAATAATACAAGAGAGACTCCTTATCGAGTCTTTTTTGTTGGTCTTTCTTTACTGCTGAAAACTTCACCATGATGATTAAAAGGATAATCTGAAGGCAAAACAATGAGATTTCTTTTTTTTAATTCTGAAGTTGATCACTGATGTCCAGAAAAAATGCATGATGAAATCATCCAGCCAGTGTGTTAAGTGGACGTATTTGCTCATGCCTTTTGTAAAAGCAGCTCTATATCTTCTGTATTGTCTCAGAGCCTAGCTTTTTGATTCCTACACTTCAGTTTGTTGCTAGAACAGTTTATACGGCAGTTATTCTGGATAAAGCATTGCCATATTTTCAGGAAGGAACACGAGTTGATGCTCAGGTCTGTATGGCATGAAAGGTGACAACACTTTTCAGGGTGTTGGCATGTTAACATGGGTGTCCAAAAACTCAGCACTAGTCTGAAATTTAATTGTCTAATCAGAGACTCGATCAGGAAAGTGAATATCAGAGGTTTCAAACAAGTAGTGTAATAGTAGTTATATTTGTTAGTCTTTTCCATGTCTAGTGTGTCCTGATCCTGCCAAGTGTCTGAATCAGTGTGGCTGAGGAGCTCACACAGCCTTCCTGCCTTTATCTTTGGGCTTCACCTTCTCCCCAGGCAGTCCCTGCTCTGTGATGAAAGTGTGCTGTCCACAAGCAAGGGGCAGAGGCCAGGGAGGCTGCTGGAGGAAAACTGTTATTTGGCTGCAGGATGGAAGCATGAATGAGGAGCTATCAGCCACATGCACAGGGTTTTTAATACCCTTGTTAATGCTGACTTCAGGTTAGGTGTTCTTCAGATAAAAGCTTAAGGATTTGTATGGCTTCCCAGATCAGCATATTGGCCCAGGATATGTTGTTGTTGCAGCCATTTCTTTGGGTTCTCAGATTGTCATACCGAGTTCTCCTGCTGCATTCTCCTGTCCAGAGGGACAATTCCTGTGTGCATTAGTCCTTCAGACCTCTCTGAAGCATTTTACTGCATTCATTTGCAGCTTCATATTTCATAAGTTAGAGAAAATTAATTAGGTCCCAAATGCACTTCAGATCCAAAGTCTTGGGGCGAGGGGATTTTCTCTTAAACATGAATTGCATTTTTACATTCTGATAGAGCCTGTGAGAAAGGTATATATGAGTTGTCCAGTGCCTATACAATTAATAATTTATAAATATTTTTATGTTTATATATAATTTAGAACTAAATAATTAAAACTGTATGCACTTCTTCTACTTAAAAGGAAGCCTGGAATTTGAAAACTATTTATTAGGCAGAGAATACAATGCGATTGTCAATAAATTATCATCTTGCTGCCTCCAAAACCTCTCTTGGGTATAATTTGTTTTTCATTGCCCAGCAAGTGACCTACAAGTTTATTGTTTCAAAGCTTGCATGACTTTGTTTTGTCTGCTGCTTATGCTGGGCAAAGCATGAGCCTGCTATTTTTCAAGGACACCATGCTTCTTTTTCTTCCTAACAGGAAAAAAATACATAATTGTTTCCTTGCTTATGTTTGTCCATGGTTTTGATTTTTTTTAACTGGTCTTCAGATATAACGATACTGTTCTTTTTTGGCCAGCTACATTGTTTTATCCGATTGTTTCAAGGGAATCTGTAATCTTTTGACTTGTCCCTTGGTGTTTTTTGTTTTTTTTTAATTAAATGTTTTCATCAATAAATTTAGATGAAATTGTGAGAATGTCTACATTTCTTATGATTCATTGCAAGTTAATGACGTGTTAGCAGAGCTTCATTTGGTAATAGTTTTGTTTAGTTTAAAACTTATTTTAGCAACATAGTCTATTAATATGTTTAGAATGCAACAGTAAGTGTGGTAATGTGTTTATGAATATTGCTATCCTTATAATAGTCCTTTCCTAATGGTTTAAATTATTATTTTTAGATATTGTTTTCTAGGGAAAAGGATGACTAGTTAAATCTGCTTTCTGATCTAATTATTGTAAAAGAAGAGTGAAACTAGTCAATTGTAGGAAGGGAAAGCCTTTCTAGGTCCTACCTCAGGTCTGTAGTGCAGGTAGGTTAAGGGAAAGGAGAGTGAAGAGGTGCTGTTTGAAAAGTCTTTGTAGCCTTTATGAGTCTTTCAAAATGCAGCTTACTTGTGAATCTTGCTTTTAGTAGAACACTGTTGCTTTCTATTCAAAAAGGAACTGAAATAGCTGAAAGGAACTTGACTAGAAAATATATATCTTTTTAAGATATATGTTATTGAACTTGATTTTTTTAGTAATCAGCTAGCTCAGTTTACTTTTACATATGTTTGCTGCAATAATTCTCTGTGAAAACATCTTATTTTCCTTCACTTGGTTCCCTTTACTGATGTAAAAAATCAGCATTTGTCCTTAACTGGTTATCTGGGGACCCCTTAAAGACATTAGCAGGAGTCAAAATAACTAATCATTGAAAACGAAACAATTAATTTTTTAAAACTAAATGTCTGAGTGTTAGGAGATTAAATATAAGGATGAACCTGTCTCTTTTTTGTACCCAGTTCCTTCAGGTAAGTGTTCCTGGTTAGTGATAATCGAAGAGATTCTACCCTTGTTCCTTTTAAAATTCTACTGTATATCCAGTTACTAGTAAACAAAATAGTCAAATAAAAGTAGCTTATGAACCATGATGCAGAAGAAAACATTAAGTAAAACCTGGAGACCTTAAAAATTTAACAGCCACTTGTCAAGTCTTTTTGGCCAGTGGGACATTATCTTGTGCTTTCAATCTGCAGGGTTCAGTCAAGTATGGATATACTAAAATGTGTATGTTTTATCTTCAAATAGGCTAACCGACCTCCAGCAAAGCTCAATCTGTTAACCTGCCAAGTGAAAACAAACCCAGAGGAGAAAAAGTGTTTTGACCTCATATCACGTAGGTTTGTTGTTCAGGTCTTTTTACTTGCAGCTCATAGCAGAATTTTGCATTATTTCTGTAGATCTGTCAGTAATCCACATTTTTACATTTTTAACATTGTAGAATGCTTCCCTTTATAAAATGCCCGTCCTGTGACAATTTGACCTTTCAGTTATTTTAGCATAATGCAACTAACTGTGCCTGTTTCTTTGGAAAACCACTTGTTTTTAAAAGCTGTCTTCACTTCTTTTTTCTATTTAATTTTTTGCTGTCTTACAGCAGAGTAATTATTTTTTGCTGACATCACTCTTCATACTGAAAATGCCCTAGCTGATCATCTTGAAAAGTTACAACTTTTGGACAAGATCAAAAGATGCTTGTAAAACTTTAAAGTTTAAGTCTGGTGGTTGCTATGCAACTGTGAAGAAAATACTAAAAGCATTTTTTGTTTTATTATCTCATAATAGGTAAAAAGTGAATAATCACCAAAATGGAATAATTTTTGGATCAGAATGGGATGATATGAAATTGTATAGTAGAATATTTCCTTTGTTTTCTCAATAGGATATTTTACTGAATTATCTATCTCAAATTAGCTGGGGAGAAGAATATAAATGTATTCATTTGTTCCTTTATTGAAGCATACATTTCTTCTGCATTTGTGAATGTAAGCTGCACTGCTTAAGTGAATAGACTTGAATGCTTGTGTTCAACATACAGCTAATTCATTTCTGCTCAAGCAAGTGGGCTTCCCTGTTTACTTTTGGACTTTCTTTCTTTGTTGATGACCATGCCATGTTTTGCCCAGTATGAGCTTATTGCAATGTTACCACATACTTGAAAAGGTATGGCTGGCCTTTTAGCCTTCTCCAGATGACTTTTTCACTTCGTTTTACTGTAGACTTAAAAAAAATTCCTTGTTCTTTACAAACTGCAAATTGCTGTATCATGGCAAGAATCTCTTAATGTGGCACTTTGCTTTCTGTTCTTTCATATATCCTCACTGTCTTAATATTTTCCATGCTTGAAGCTGTCTTTTAATACCTTTTAGCCTGAATATTTTTCAAACTTTAGGAATTTCCATCTTAGAATATTTTTGCCAGTAGCTTTACCTCTGTTGTTCTCATCAACTATTCTCACTCCGACTAAGTCATTAAACTGTATCATATCTTGTTCTACATAGACTTAAAATGCTTATGCATTTTTCTTTGGTAGTACACTATGATAACAATGCTTAGAATTAGAAAAGTAGTAGTAAATTGAAAATCGTGAGCTTGGTTTAATTAAAACAGCCTGGGAGTCATGCTGGTTGTTGTTTGGACTTTGTGTCTGGCAGGTTTTTTTTGAAGTTTGTGATTACTGGGTTTTAAGAACGCATCTGAACTGTGTAAGTCTTTCTTACATACACAGATAAACTTAAATATGAACTCTATATTTTACTCCACTCCCTCCCAGTAGAACTTTATACTTGTGATTACTGAGGTTATATCCAGAACACAGAGCATTTCCTTTGTTCTCCTGCTGCTCGTGTGATAAAAGCACAGCACTGAAGAAAGCAGCTTCTGTTTAAAATGCAACAAGCCACTGTGCAAATGCAGATGTAATCATAGATGAACTGTGGGTAGTAAGGTGAAACTTCTTAAATAGACTTTTTGTCTGTCAACACACTCCAGTGATGAGAATAGAGACATCAAGAATCAATTAATTTTAGATTTCATTGAGAGATTTGTGCAAGATGAGTTGTTCAATAATTTTTTTAATCAGTATGTGAATTATTTATTGTGCAGATGATAGAACATACCACTTTCAAGCAGAGGATGAACAGGAATGTCAAATGTGAGTTACTTTCCTAATTTTATTTTTGACACTGGCCATCTAATGAGACTTACTTTGAACTTCAGAAGTTCCATAACACTTAATAGCAAAATATTACTGCCATTTTAGATGGACATCTGTGCTACAAAACAGCAAAGAGGAAGCTTTAAATAATGCATTCAAAGGAGATGATAACACAGGAGAAAATAATATTGTCCAGGAACTGACAAAAGAAATTATATCTGAAGTCCAGAGGATGACTGGAAATGATGTTTGTTGTGACTGTGGAGCACAAGGTGACTCAATTAAGCATATTTCTAATTGGTAAAAATTCTTTGTCTCATGAGAATATTTAAGCTAATGTTTTATGCTTTCACTTTTACTCAGTATTTTACAAAAATTATACTTATAGTAGAATATGCTTACAGTTTAATGGAACTACTTTAGTAAGATTGATTTGCTATATGCTTATTATCAGAGAGGAGAAAAGTTACCAAGAAGCTTATTTTTCTCCCATGTATTTTGCTAGTTGTAGCTTTTGCTTACATAAATCAAATTAACTTACATAAAATACAGGTTAATAATGTTAGATTTAGGAAAAAACTGAGCAGCCATAAGTTACTTGAAGCATTTTCTTAATACACCTTTTTTCTTTTTTTTTTTTTTTTTATCATGTTTGATGAAAAAGTGAGACAGGGAATATGTCTAAAGCTGTATACATTTTGAGAAGAATGCTCCTGCTGACTGTGGTTTGCAGTATTGGTTTTGTTGATCAATTAATTTCTACTTTAACCCTCTTCAAATTATTTTTAAAATCCTGCTGTTTCCTGTGTTCTTTTATGTTGTAGTGGCACTGCAGAACTTAGGTCTTTTGATGTAAAACTGTAGCTGCAAACATCAGCTCTGATGCTGTATGGACTTTCCAAATCGATAATTATTGTAAAAAGACTATGGGAAGAATCAAGCCTGCTGTCTTGAAAAAAAAGAGAATGTAAATGGCCACTAACAAACCTTTATCAAACAAATTAGTTGCTAAGCTGTCTAAGTCTTCAGACATTAATTATTTGGCTGGAAGGTGAGGGAATGATGCAGTAAATGAAAGTTACTAGGGAAAAGACTGTTGAGGGCAATGAAAGGACAGGGATGAGCCTTAGTATCTTTGAAGTAGTTGAGTGAGAATCTTGTAGTGTGTGCTGTGTGTGCACTTCTGAATCACTTCTGCTTCACTTAGTCTAAAGTCTGTATTTGAAGTGCAAAAGAAGCTGAACCCTGTAAATGTTATTTCAGTTTAAACTGCACCTTTATTCCCATTTGAGAGTGTGACACCGTTCTACTGGTGGTGGGAAAATGCAGTTCCAGAAAGTTGTTTGAAGAATGGCAGACGAGGGTGGTTAAGAGACTCCCTTGGATAGCAATGTCTTTCACAAAAATATAATAAAAATTCTCCTCTTCACTTCTTTCAGCATTAAAAAAGATAAAAAGGTGATTTTTTTTCCGTGTAGAGTAAATGTAAAGACATAAATTAAAAAAAAAAAGATAACAATGTACAAGAATCTTATTTTGCAAAATTTCATTTCTGTATTCTATGTTTTCTAGATTAAATGATTGCCTGAATAAATTTTAATTCTGTGGATGCCTTCTATTTCAGATCCTACCTGGCTTTCAACAAATTTGGGAATTTTAACTTGCATTGAATGCTCAGGAATCCATAGAGAACTTGGTGTTCACTATTCCAGAATGCAATCACTTACATTAGATGTGCTGGGAACATCTGAACTTTTGGTAATCAAATTGCTTTCATTAAATTAAAAATAGTACTGTAAAATACTAATAACACAAGTATATTTTTTGTCACTTTAGCATGATGTTCCCATCCTGAAGTTGTCTCTGGATAAACATAGTTTAAGAAAGCTTAATTTTTGAAGTTTATTGGAATTTCCTGGAACATAGTGTCCTACTGTAAAGTTTTTCTTATCTTAGAACTCAAATTAGTAGAGGCTTCATATTTTTTTGTTTTCAAATCTTTTTATCCTGAGCTGCTTTTTAAAAGAACACAGCTGTTTGACATATAAAGGCCTCAGATTAAAAATTGGAGGACTTCACAAATACTTAACCCATTAATAATTTAGCATTATTTTAGAAGACAACTTTAATCCCCAAAGGAAAAAATGCTTTTAGCTTTGCTACACAAAGAAGTTACCACTTATCAGCTGCTCTGTGGAAGTTTGTATGTGTGTTCTTACCCAGCACAAAGTATTTGCATTTATTGTATGAACTGGTGTCTTGATGGCTTATTCTGCAGTTATTTGTTCATGTAGTAAATCCCAGCTGAAAATTCACATCAAATAAAAGTCCCTAATCTGTTTGTTGTTACTGACATAGCAGCAGACCAAGAAATCAGAAATGAGAGGTCCTAACTCTCATTTTCCCTTGTTCTCCCCTTGTTATGTGTGTGGCTAATAACTGAACATGTTTATTAATTGAGCTGTGGGATTTTGTTTTTTTACAGCTTGCAAAGAATATTGGGAATGCTGGATTTAATGAGATTATGGAATTCTGTCTTCCAGTTGATGAGATGGTCAAACCTAATCCGAGCAGCGATATGTAAGTAAAGAGCCACTACTTCTGAGAAAGGCAGGCATTTAATTTAATATTGCTAAGGGGCTGTGCCATTATGGTTTTCACTGGCAGGCCATAGAAGATGTGTAATATCTTATTTATGATCTTATAGCTGAGGAGTAAACTTTTTGTTTGATGCTTTGCATGTCTCTTATTGAGCTTTATCTGACTGTACCTTCTCCAATAGTAAGGAACATCTTACCAACTCTTTGAATCATGGTTTGTGGGACAGAAACAAATTAACTGTGACTTGTTGGGAACCTTAAAGACATACAAGGATAGGGATTAAAACCAAAGGAATTAATTTTGTGCTATTTGAAAACAAAATGGAAATTGTAATAAAGTGCACATTTACTTGAAAGATACAGAGCAACATTTAGAAACTACACCTAGGACCGAAGTCCATGTGGAATGAAGACAGAACATTTAACTGAGTTCCTCGAAAGCACTAAACAGTGATGGCAGAGATACAGCAAGGACAGCTGCCTACTTGGCTGGATACTACTCATCATAAAAGGCCTAGTAAACAATGCAGAAACAAACCCAGAAAAATTGGCTCTGGATGAAGCTGATTTTACATTAGGTGGATTTTTAGCATTCTGTCAAAACAAGGCAGTTTAGATAATTATTGACTACTACTATAGATAGTTATACAGAGTATTAATATTAATAATATTAATATTAATAATTTAAATTACTAATGCTTTTACCATATGCTGAATCAATATAATAAGAACACTTCTAAAAATTTGTATTTAAAAAGATCATTTAGTTTGATACCTCTGCTTATCAAATTTGGAGCTATTTTGTTGAAATGAGAACCTGAATACTATCAAATGCTTTATGAACAAGAGTTATCTATTGTTCTAATTAATTTTTATTTATTGGGGTTTTTTACTTTTTGCCTGTTACATAGTATTTAGATGATGAGGTATGACTTTGTTAAATGTCTCCTGTGCAATGCTGTGAACATCCCAAGAGCTGGTAAGGAGTTCTGTCTTTGGGAGGCAAGCAAGCTCCTGTCTTGCAGTGATGGGAGGAGGGGTGGATGTGTTACTGGGCATCCACAGCAGAAGCGATAACTTGTGCTGAGTCAGGTGGATCAGTTTTCATCTCGGTTTAGAAATGTCACTAAAAGCTCCAACACATCCTCCCTGTTACTGTTGTGATGAAGGGTTTAAAAAACATACTGCTGTGAATTCAAATTCAAGGCCTGGGTAGTCTGTGCAGAGGTATAAGATAGAGGTTTTTTTTTTTTTGGTTGGTTGAGGTTTTTTTTGGTTTTTTGTATACCATGCCTTCCATCCCTTTCCAGCAAGTACTAAGTCAGGTAAACATAAATCTGCAAGGCAACATAAACCAACATTATGAAGCTTTGATGTATCTTCTGTGCATAGAGCTGGATAGTCGTGATCTCAACATCATCACAGAGTTTGGAGGAAGAAATTTGTGGTCTGTCTTCGTATTGGATATTTGATTCATTTTCTGTAACTACATTTCATACTTGAAATACGAGACTGCATGGTTACATGCATATTTAAAAAGAAAAATTATCATAATGAATGATTTCAAATGACTTGCATGTATTTATGGAAATGCTAATGTGTATTCTCAGCTGAAAGTTAGAGAAATAAATCATATTCAATTTCAGGAATGCAAGAAAAGATTACATTACTGCCAAGTATATTGAGAGAAAATATGCAAGGAAGAAGCATGCAGACAATGCAGCTAAATTGCATGCTCTTTGCGAAGCAGTGAAATCAAGAGACATTCTTGGATTAGTTCAAGTGTATGCTGATGGCGTGGATCTCACAGAAAAGATTCCACTGGCCAATGGCCACGTAAGTGTTGTAAATTTTATTAGACAAATTGTTGTAAGTGAAATATGCATTCGTTAATTAAAAATTATTTGAAATAACATCTGAAATAATATCTGTTCTAAATGTATGTCCTATTAATTATGTAATTTTACAATAAAAAAGATATTAAATAATTTAATCTAAAATTGTTTCCAAGTACTATCTTAGTTTGAATTTATTAAAACATTAAATCATTTAATAATCTGGGTTTTTTCAACCCATTTATTTATTTACGTTAAAGGAACAAAAGGGACACAGTAAGTCTTGACAGATGTTTTAATGGTAGCACGTTTGAATATTTTGAAATTACATGTTTTATTTGATTCAATTAATGTCTTACTAAAATTTATTCTTCAGAGGAAGAAACAAATGTCTTTTTTCATTTTATTCTTAGGAGCAAGACGAAACAGCGCTGCACCTTGCTGTTAGATCAGTTGATCGAACATCCCTTCATATAGTTGACTTTTTAGTGCAGAACAGGTAAGTATGGAAAGCTAAATATTGACATTTCTTTTATGGAAAGTAATATAAATAATAAATACAATAAAGCTGTATTTGCAAATGTAATTTTATTCTTTGAAAATCTTCTAATGACAGTGGCTTAATAATATAGGGTAGGAAACTTAAGTTAAATTATCTTTCTTCTTTCTTGTACTCCAAAAGTGGCAATCTAGATAAGCAAACCTGTAAAGGTAGCACAGCCCTGCATTACTGCTGTCTAACAGACAACGTTGAGTGCCTCAAACTGCTGCTGAGAGGGAAGGCTTCTATTGAAATAGGTAAAAGGGTAATGTGTTCTTCAATTTCCTATTTGTCATTGCTTCAGATAAGAAACAGTGAAGTTGGAATAAGTGCAATTTATCCTCTATTGTTTATCATAATTCTGTAAATATAATCTTCATTGTTAGAGAATCAGTATTTACTGCTTATTTCAAGTTTAAAATTTACTTATATATTGCACTTAGCCTTTAAACAGGTTTGATTTTTTAATTGCTCTTTTATTGTCACATTATATACTGTCATTTCATGGCTATCATTCATGTGTGTATGGCATGTTGATTTGCTACTGCTTGTCGTGTTCAGAGGGTTGATGTGAGTTGGACCTATCTATGAAAGAAAGAGATGAGTTTTCATGTGTGTTGGTCTAGTACTTCACTATGCAGGTTTGTCTTGAGTAATGGACATGTTAATAGTGACATCTCTCATTGTACATTTCTTTTTTCGCTGTAATATAGCAAATGAATCAGGAGAGACGCCACTTGATATAGCCAAACGTTTAAAACATACTCACTGTGAAGAGCTGGTGAGTATTGTGTCATTCAGTGTGTGCATTTCATGTCTGATCATTTAACAGTTTACAGCTGAATATTCAGTGATTATATTCCAGATGTGATAGTGATGTACTAGAAATAGTTATATCCTCAGAAATAGTCATATGCTTACGTCAAGTTATATGCTTTAAGAAGAAAACAATATTTTTCTTCAGATGCAAGGGAGTGGTTGAGTCACCTTTCCTGGAGGTATCTAGAAATGGTGTAGATGTGGCACTTAGGGCTATGGTGTAGTGGGGTGTGGCGGTTCTGGGTTTGGGGTTGGACTTCATGATCTTAAAGGTCTTTTCCAACCTAAATGGTTCTATGAATCTAAGTGTCTGACACCTCCTTGAAATCTAATTACTGAAGTACTTTTTATGTGTGAAGGCCATGAATGAAACCTGTTATCTTGTTGCCCAGAGAAATTGTGGATGCCCCATCATAATAGTGGGGGTCAAGGCTTATTAAAAAGTGACTCTGATTCAAGGAAACTGTCATTGCAGTTAATTTCTTTGAATTGCAATTTCTAAATCAAAGCAAATACAATGTACTTCTTCTCAGTAAATGGAAAATGGATCTACAATGGTTAATGAAATGTCTGGATACTTTTGATTTATTTGTGTTGTATTTGGTAGCACAGCTTAAATTAAATTTACTTCAGTGCAGTAACTTTCCAGATTGCCGACATCAAGATTCTTCCTATATGTCGACTTTGTTTGCTTTTACATATATTGTTTTAAAATAAGTACTGCTCATAATGTGTCATCTTTTTTTTTTCCTTAGCTTACTCAAGCACTATCTGGAAGATTTAATTCTCATGTTCATGTAGAATATGAATGGCGATTACTTCATGAAGATTTGGATGAAAGTGATGATGATGTGGATGAAAAGCTGCAGGTTTGTATCAACATTATTTTTCTGTACACATGTATGTGTAAGTGTGATGTTCATAATTATTTCAATAACCTTGCTTCTTACTGTAGGTATGAAGACACTGTGAAATAAATTTCTGTACTAAAATGCAGTAGCTTAAATTTCTGGAATTATAGTTGGTCTTCTTTTTCCTCTTAAAACATGGCCATGTGGTTCCAAATTATAATTAGCCGTGTTCTATATTTTCTTTTCAATCAAGTCAATAGTTGGCTTCAATACATCAGGAATATTTAGATCTGCTGATTATGAAGCAGATCTAACATGAACTGGGAAAATTGCCTTTACAAAGGCAGGCACCTCAGACTATCTCTTCATGTTTGTGAAACATCTCTAGTCAATGGCTCTAATTTAGAATTTTAAAAGTTTATGCATTGTTTTGTCTCCAACTGAACCTTTTGTATTAAATAAGCCACATCCATTAACAGCAGAGTAGGGTCTTAATGCTGAATCTTCATATATAAAATAATTTTTCATTTTCATGCTTTCATTCATGAAATGTCTAGTGGAGTTGTGGTGCTTTTAGGTTCAGAATCACAGAATGGTTGGGGTTAGAAGTCTAACTTCCCTGCTATAGCAGGATAACCTGGAGCCAGTTGCTCAGGACCATCTCCAGATGGCTTGAACGATGATCATATTACAAAACATTCCAATAGCACAGAAACTTCATTGCATTTTCAAAATTTAATTTCCCAGTTTAGGGCCCCACTTGAAAAATTATTTATGCACCTGAACACACAGACAGTTAAAAAACTACTGTGTTTTGACACCTAAAAATGGTATGGCTTTCTAAGGTACAAGTAATTTGAAATTATGTATAGGCTCTAAAATACTAATAATATCCTGAAACTTTCATAATTTGAAGTGTTCCATGTAAGTATTCCATGTAAGGCTTTTGTTCTTTGTGTGTATGTGGTGTTATAATTGCTTATGCCTTTTCTGCTTTCCTTATCACGTACAAGGAATACATAGTAGGCTTTATATTAGTCTTCAGATGTTAGCACAACATTTTTTGAAAGTAGCTAACAAAAACCCCTTTCTCCTCTGGAGAAACTACAAACTTGACCATTTTAATACTTCGCTTGCAAAATCCCCCATCTCAACTAGGGCATGAATTGGTAACTGTAAATTAATAAAATAAAACAAAACTAAGTCTTTCGTGTTGGGCTTTTCTTTGTTTTCAGAAATATTAAAACCTGACAGTCACAGGTTCATTTCCATTACCTTCATGGAATCTCTTTAAGATTGTTAGTTCACCAGACTATTAAATTAGTTTAATTGTTTTGGAGACTAATTTTGATATCAATAATTCGTCTGTTGCAAAATACCATTTTTACAATACTGTGAGTGCATAGGACTCTTTTCCCCATGTCCTGTCTCTCTAGGCCAAGATAGCTGGTGCTTGACTTGAACTAATTAGCAATAGAAGGTGTCACAGGCCATTCCTTTTAAAGCACAATTTCTACCTTGTGAGGCTCTTCTTAAAATTTTTCCTTAAAATTTTTGTATCTGTGGAAGAATCTGGAATCCATGAGCTGTTAAATGCACTTCTTCTGCATGAGCATACTCTATCCCCGTATTTATATATTCCTATATATTTTATCATTTTATTTATTGTATAATAACAATAGTAATGATGATAATTTTGATAAAACAGATTGAAACCGTTAGAGGTCTCATTTTTTTCAGCTGTAAAAGTTTTTGGTAATTTACAAATACAAATCCCTTTCTGGCATGATCTAAATTTGTCTTTTGATCTGTTCTTCTCCTTCACTTTCTTCATTGATGCCTGTTGCCTTCTGCAGTTGAGTGGGTTTTTTTGTCTAGTCCCTGAGCTCCATCTCATATAGGAAGGTATCTGCTACTCAGTAGTGTGACTAAAATAATGCAGCTCCTACTTCACTGCTCACTATTAATAGGTTTATTCTGCAGGGACTTTTGAAAGGATATTAAAGACTATTAATCACAGAGTCACAGTGTCTGTGACTACATTGTTTGCATGGGTCAATACTGCTGTTGCTTAGGATCACATCAGAGTTTTGTTTTTAAATGTCAAGCTATTGGGTGGGTCTTGCTGGCAAGACAGTTGAATAAATTTTGTAATCTATGTCAGAAAAAGTCATGTCTGAAATTTAAGTTCTTTAGTCCAGAATGTTTCATATAAAAGAGTCTAACCTAAAGGAAGGTTAGAATAATTCAACTTGTTTCTGCTGTTGCTGTACACCGTGGCTGCCTGGTCCTGCCTCAGCTTCTGCCTCCACTCTGGCACACATTTGTTCCTGTATTGATCTGCTTCAGTTTGGTGAGCCAGTGAAAAGCTGAATCATAAAGACTAGAAAGAATTTTCTGCTGGTTTAGAAACCAGAAGAAGGTGTGGGCTGAAACAAGTCCCAGAACTAGGACAGTGGAGAGGTCAGGGAATGGAGAGTATCAGCCAGCAAGGAGTGAGGCTGCTAAGCCAAAGCCAAGGTAGAGACTATCATGTACATCATTCTGATAAATCTTGGAGCTATAGTGCTGTGCTATAACATACCTAAATGCCTTACATGACCAATCCAGAAGTAGGCATTGAATGTATTCAGATGAAAATCAATTGCTTGTTGGTGATACTGTTGATATAAATCTTTATTCTGTCTAAATGCTATTACTATAAATGGTTATTTTAATTTCATACAGACAATATGTCAGTATGGGATGTTTATCTAGCACTGTTTCTGAAGTTATATTTATGCTCTCTGGGCTGTGGATTGTTAAAGCCCATTGCTGTACCACACGAATTTGTAACTCCAGCTGTTTTAATTGTCATTTGATAACAGTAATGACTATGCTTGCTGTTGAAACAGGAAGAATGATGCTAAGTGCAGATGATTACTGCAAATCTCAAAAACAGCAAATCAGATACAATTCGATAATGTGTGTGGGATGAGCAATGTTCCATCGCAGCTGCCAATGGAAGTAATCTCCCAAACTTATCCAGTGATACTAGTGAGCTAAAAAGAGTTAATGAGAAGTTTTGGCTACTCATTTCTTGTCTGCTGACCTCTAGGTAGAATACTTAGATGAAATCTTGTCTGGGTTTTGAGGTCATGTTCATCCATTTGGGATTTAGCTCTGCTAAACTTCAGAAAAGGCTTAGGATCTTCAGTTGTTTATTTAGTTTTTAAAATATTGCTGGGTATTTTGATGCAGGGAAACTTTACTTGCTCCAGCATGGAAATCTGTATTGGTTATCTATAGAAGTATAGTCTTGTGTATATAGGGATATAGAATTATCCTGTAGCAGTGTCCTACAGAAGAAATGAGAATATATTAATAGTTTGGAAGTGCAATTTACCTTTAATCTTTTGTTGTTGTTAGGATGCATAGTTACTTTGTCTTGAAGAGGGCAGAATATAGGTTTTAGGTTACATATTAAAAGCAACAAAAGTGCATTTTTGAAGCTGTTTTTTCTTTCTAGAAATGAATAACTTTCTATCAACTAATAAATAAAATTACGTGGTATCATATAAAACTAATATGGTATCAATGAGTACTTTTTTTATTGTGTTAAAGCAACCCAGTCCCAATCGGAGAGAGGACAGGCCTGTCAGCTTCTACCAAATTGGATCAAACCAACTTCAGCCTAATGTAGCATCCTTGGCAAGAGATGCAGCAAACATTGCTAAGGACAAGCAAAGAGGATTTATGCCAAGTATATTACAGAATGAAACATATGGAGCAATACTCAGTGGCAGTCCACCTTCCATTCAGCCTGCAGTACCTGTTACCAGTAGTGCACCTCCTCTACCTCCAAGGAATATTGGCAAAGGTACTAGAAAATATCATTGTGTGTTAGGAGAATAGGATCATAACTTTTTTAAAAAATAATTTAATTGTTAGGTTTTCTCTTACAGTTATTTTCCACAGGTAAGTATTGGAACAGTTATTGATGGCCTTATTTTATATCCTTGAAGTGGATCTATGTAATGTATTCTGAGTTTGATTTTTGATATACCTGCAAGAAAGTACACAATAGCATTTGGGAAAACAATACCCAGATATCCATTTATTAAGAGGATGGCTGCAGTCAATGTAGCTCATAAATTTTTTTGTTATAGTCAGTCTTTTCATGCTTCTTTTTCTTGAAGATGTCATTGTCAGAGTTCAGTATAAAGATAAAATTTCAATAGTATTTGTGTGTTGTGAAGGTTTAAGACCTCAAAGAATGGAGACTGTATGCAGAACATGAGATTTTAACCTTGCAAATTCTTCTCTTAATAAATACGTGCTTCAGGGTCATTGAAATAAAAGTGTAAGTGTCATGATGTGGAGAACTGGATGATTTAGAGATCTGGTAACTGACTGAAAATACAGCTGCCAAATTACTGATTGTCCCCATTACAGCAGTGTAAAAGTATGTGTCTCATCCTGATTCAGAGGGCCATGTGTTTGCAAAATCTACCATTAAAGCTGGTGCTATGAACTTCATTCTTATCTTCATATGTAATCTGTTTGCATCATAGTAAAGAAACATAGAGAAATCTCTGTAGCTCCTCTTTGTACAGGTCATATTTGGTGTGTTTCATTGTTGTAATACCTTTATTAATCCACCGTCTTTCATGGAGGCTAAATTTATGTATTCAATTAAGAAAAGTTACCATTAAACACATGGTTTTCTATGGTGCTGTAATTCAGACTCCATAAGAGGAGATATGATCAGGAAATGTTCTAGGCACACATGGGTGGCTTCTGCCTTTGGGAGCACTGTGCAGAGGTCAGAATGCAGGACTCCACACACCAGTGATTGTGCCTGAGATGGCAAACTGATCTTCTGTGTAATATGAAAAGTCAGTGATGGAATGGCTGCGTAAAAGGGATAGAAAAACTGAGAACCAAAGAACGTGGTTTGGGTTACTTGGAAGGGGTAGCATGGGACTCTGGGGGAAGTTTAGTTGCATGTCAAACTTAACCAGGGTGGGCTTATGTTAACATTTCACATGAAGCCTAATTTCTAGACAAGATTTTTTTACTTGATGGAAGGGAAAGTTTTCCCCACCAAACAGGAAAAGTGACACAAAGAGCTTGCCTGATTTGTTTAACTGTTAGATTCTATCTCTGAATTAGTAATACAATTGAATAGTTAAAAAGACTGTTTTACTCTTTGATATTATTTTAATCACGGCCAATTATACCCACAGTTTGCCCTTGATTAAATGACAGATTTCAAAAAATGTCATTTTAATTTCATTCCCAACCCCAAAATTCTTGGCATTGCTGTAATAGAACTCATGCTGTGAAGACATGCTGCCTGCCTTAGATTATTAGCTCATATTCTTTACTCTAGCAATGTATTAGCCTACTAATTTATATTCTTAGTTAAAAGCTATAATAGTATCATTCACCGTAGCTTCTTGTCAGTTGCTAATGTTGTTAATGTTATGCTTATGGTGTATTATTACTCCTTTATCCTCATAGCTTTAGGCTATTTTCCAAGTCTTCTGAGCCTTTTATGCTTTACCCTGCAACCTAATATTTGTTCATACCTTACTCTGTTTCATCTTTTCTTAATATGATACTCATGTGCTGAGTAGGGAGAAATGGCATAATATGTGCAAAATACTGGCTTTATAAAGAAAACCTGTAGAGTGTTTTTATGAAATGAGGAAGCAGCTCTTCAGAATGAAGTGATTTAAGAGGCTCTGAAGAAGTACTTTGTGATTGTTTCATGACTAGTTATTATAGCTTCTTGCTTGAGTGAAATTCAGGTTTACAGTTTTATTTTGCTTCTAAGTCAAAACAGATGTTTCACTTCGAGTCAGCAATGTGTGCTCATGCTTGTGGAAGAGTGAGGTCCTTTTCTTGCAGTACCTGAGAAAATTACAGTTATCAGTCAGGGATTAAAGAAGGTAGCAAGACTTGCCTTCTGCCTTCTTACTGAGAAATCTGCTTTTTCAAGTATTGACATATTTTAAAGTAATGATTGGAGACAAATTTTGTTTAGGAAAAGTGTTAGAAGTTTCTGGGTGAAGTCTTGCCGTGTAATTTTTAACACCAGACTGATTTCTGCTCTGGCATTCCATCAGGATGCAGTGACTATAGTTGTTGAATATAGTGTTCCTGAATATAGTGGTCTAGCCACACCATTTCTGAAAGCACAGGTGTGAATATTAACACTTTGTGCATAGGGAAGCAATAATAATAATAATAATAATAATAATGCAGTATTTTCCTCTCTTTTTAGTTCAGCCTTCAGTTCTTGGCAGTGGTATTCAGACAATTTCTTCATCTAATGCAATGTGGAAGACAAATTCTTTAGGAGTGGAAAGTATAAGCAGGCAGAGGTCTTCATCAGATCCACCAGCTATTCATCCCCCTGTGCCGCCATTGCGTGTAACATCTACAAGTATGTTTCCACTTTCCCCTGTTTTCCCTTCTACTGTATCTAATCACAGCTGGCTTATTTTTCCATTTCCACAACTCATATTTCCTCTTTTGGTGACTGTAGCTTTGGCCTATCGTTCCCATCCAGTAACAAACAGTCTTCGCTGATGCTCCAGTGAGGACTGTATGGTGTAGTGCAGGGTCAGCGGGAAACACCATCTATTACTAGAGCTAAAGGGCTCATCATTTTACCTATATATGTATGTAATTTTAGTGCTGCATTTCTCACTAGTTGTAAAGGTGAGTGTTAAATGTAAGCCTGGGGCTGTGTTTCCCTATTGTGCTTGATTGTTGTAGACCACTAGAATGCATTCATTGCTAGCTGCTTTTGAGGTGGTTTTAAGAATTCAATAGCAATTTTAATTAATTGGTAAACTTAGTCTGCTGTTAGGTGTGAATCACAACAAGATTTTAAGAAAAGATATTCCTCTAAATAAAATTTGCCAGATATTACTCACTTGGTTACATTTCCACAAAACACAGACTGAAGGATTTGACTGAGAAAATAATATTATCACTTTAAAAAATGTATTCTCATCTACTGTTTTCAAGACTATGACTGACTTCAGTAAGAATTTTCTTTGCTTGCAATTTAATGCTTGAATAAATTTAAGAGCTCTCTAACTTCAGCTAGGTGAAACAAAAGGGAAAGCGCTTTCCAAAGAGGTCCTCCTTCAATGATATGTAGTAAAGCATTTTTCTTAGATAAGTCCTATAACAGGGGAACCTGTAATGAGAACCCAAGAAATGAAATGGTAAATAGAAATTTAATTCCATGTTTCTGTCTGACTTTCCTATATAGATGTACTTTCTCCAGCACCACCACCTCCAGTGGCAAAGACAGCTAGCATTATAGAAGCTTTGAACCAGCAATCAAAACAACAGCCAGCTCCTCCACAAAGCAAGCCAACCCCACCACCACTGCCTCCACAACCTCCTAGCAGAATCTCTCAGAGAAAGCCTATTCCTGGGTAACTGATGTCACTTTTGTCTTTAATATACTTAATCATTTTTAGTAACTTAGTATATCTGTAACATGCAATCATCAATAAAGCATGCGTGCTTTTGCCAGTGATGTGTCCTAGAGTGTGGGAATGAACAGAAGGCAGATGCTAAGGATGTAGATGACAAGGATTCCTACAGTAAAAACAAGACAGCCTAGTGATTTAAGGTTATATGACTTGCAGAATATCTCCAGAATACCTAGCTATGATGGAGATAAAAAACCAGAAAATTATTAAATTCCTTATTCTCTTCTAGTAATAAATAGGAGATAATGAGATCTAATGTTTGATTGTGCCATTTATGCTTTGCATAAGTTTTGTTCCATTGAATCTTTTCATTCGTGGCAGAAGTAGAGAGACCTGGAAAAGAGAAAATGACTTTTAAATTTTCAGAAAAATAAGTTAGGAGAGACAAATGCACTGGAAAACAGGGTCATATCCAAAGCGTCCTTGAGAAACTGAAGTAGTTAGTAGTCAAGGGAAAAGAAGGGTGTCATTCAGTAAGCAACCCTTAGTAATTAAGAACTATGAACTACAGGAATGAAGCATGGAGAACAGCAGAGTATGGGTAAGCACAAGTCCTTAGAAGAATGATCTGTAAGGACATAGTAAGTAAGGCAGTTGACCTACTGCTGTTCCATGAGTTAAAGAGTATACTTTTATGATAGCCTGCAAACTACAGGAATTAATTCTGTCAACTGATTTAACATCAGTGGTGCCTCAGTAGGACTGCTGTGTTCAATTTGGGGCATTGCAGTAAAATGAAATACTGAGGTGGGAACCAGGGGAGATCCAAATAAGGCCTTTGAGAAAAATTTTGAAGAAATAAGGTTTCATTTGCAAATTGAGACTGAAAGATGAAACAGCCTTGACCCTTAAGCTCCTTTCTAGCCCTTTTTTTGCATGTACCATACTAACTAAAAGATAGATACAAATCGTCGAAGCTTACTATAATGTACAGACTAATATGGATGCATACTTTTTAGAAAAAAATAAAAAATAACAGTGAAAGGAACTCCAAATTTCCATCAAAGGAAAAGACACAAATTGCAATAATCAAACCTGTATTATTTTTCTGCCTTACTTTTTTTTAATTAAGTGCAACTTTCAATTGCACCTATTCAAAAGTACAGAAGAAAAGTAGTATTTTTAAAAGCAAAATAGCTGTCACCAGATTTTACTGCAGATACACCAAGACTTTATAATTTGGAAAGTACTCTATATATTGTTGCTTTTTGAGTTCTTGTTTGTTTCCGAAATGGACCCATTTCTCTCTTTCTGCACAGGACTGAGAAGTCATCTGGCTTAACTAACAAAGGGCAGACCAGAGGACTTGGGTCTCTACAACAACCTGGTAATTGTGGTTTAGGGATTTATTTTATTGTGATTAAGTTTTCACAACAATCAAAGGGAGAGTGTGGGTTTGTTGAGGTTTTCTTTAATTTGTTTATTTCCCTTACACATTTAAATATAATCAGTTACAACTTTCTTCTTGTTTCTCTTTGTGATTGTGTAGGCCATGATGCCTCAAGCTTTTTATCATGAGCGGAGCTATGGGCCAAATAAAGTCAATAATAGGACCATGTAATAAACAGAATCACAGAATGTTTGATGTTGGGAAGGACCTATGCAGGTCATTGGGCCTAACCCCTTTCCTCAAGTACCAACAAGAGTGGATTACCCAGGACTGTGCCCAGAGGATGGAGACTCCACAACCTCTCTGGGCAACCTGTGCCAGTGCTGGGTCACCCTCACAGTGACAAAGCATTTCCTTGCAGTGACAAAGTGTTTCCTGATGTTCAGACAGAGATCCCTGTATTTCAGTTTGTGTGCACTGCCTCTGGTCCTGCTTTTCAGCCAGGTGGCCACCAGCATATATTGGTGCATGGCCTGTTCATCCCTAGGTGCAGGACTTTGCCCTTCATTGCTCCAGATTCTCCCCTGATGTCTGGACCAGGATTCCTGAAGACCTGTCTTGCTAGTAAAGGCTAAGGCAAAGAAGGCTTTCAGTAGCTCAGCCTTTTCCATGTATTTTGTAACCAGAATCTCATCTTGTTTAACAATGGGTCCACATATTCTTTAATTTTCATTTTGTTACCTATGGATTTATAGAAGTTTTTCTTATTGTCTTGGACATTCCTTGCCAGATTTAATTCCAGCTAGGCTTTAGCTTTCCTAACATCATCTTAAAACCCACTCAAACAAAGGATGCATTTTGAAAATTTTTGTTTGCACTGTTGTTTGCGTATGTCAGAAACAAGGTGTCAGATACACATTTTAGAACAGAAAAATGTGTTTCTGGCTTGAAAATCTAGAGCTTATATAGTGTCACTTTTAATTAAATTGCAAATAGATATTGCTCTTTTCATGTTAATAAGCAGAGTTCGTTATTCATTTTATGTTTTTTGTTGTTCAAAGTAACTACTACTTTGGGACATGACAATAATATCATCGTCATGAAATCTCTACAGTAAAGTTTGTGCAGAATCTGTGGTGGTTGTAGTGAAATTTCTCCTACCTTGTTTCTCCTTCTGCTGCATATTTTGTATTCATTTTTTAGTTCTGTGATTCTTTTCCATTTCCTCTTGACTTATGCCAGGAGAATTTGCTAATGGCTATCTGCCATCTGTGTTAGGAGTCTCCTGTGAAGGATACAGCACCTTGATAATGATGGTCTTTACTAGGAAAGAAAGATTCTAACAGCATACAGTCTGTAGTGAAGGAAAGGGGAAATTGAATATTTGGTTCTGCTCTCATCTATTTTATCTTTCTTAGCATATCTGCACCATTAAATGTCTTAGGTCGTTGTCTTTGGGAAAAGGATAGAATTCTGTTCAGTTATTTAGAAATGACTCATGGGATATAAAATGATTTATATACTTTAAAGAATAATTAGTTTGGTTTCAATTGATACCGTCACTCTTACTTTTTTTGAAAGCATGCCTAATATTTACTTGGTTTATTTACCTTAGCAGGAGAGTCATCTTCTGTATGTGACATTCCAGGAACACAGACTGGTTCTACAGCTAATACTTTGGCACAAATCCAGCCACCAGCACCAATGCCAAGGAAATCACAAATAGTAAGTACAAAATGTGGTGGTTGATTTTAATAATCTTCTGTATTCTATCACACTGTAGACATGATAGTGTGTCCTGCTATGGTGAAAGTGTGACACCCATGAAACATACAATATATCCTGTGTCCTGTGTTTAAGTATTTGTGTGACTTGTACTAAATAGTTACAAAAACTTTTTTTCTCTTGAATTTCCTATAGAATAGTATGTGATTTTAAGTTTAAAAAAGCAAACCAAACCAGTTGGATTCTTTGCTCATGTCCTGATGTGACCAACACAATCCATAGAATTATGATTTGAATTATTGGAGATAGATAAGCTTTATGAGTTAGCAACTTGTAGATGAGCTTGGTGAGTCACTTTTAACACACGACTTCATTCTCAGTCTTCAGCGAAGTAAGTTATAAGGGAACTCTTGTTCTTTTATAATGGACACAGATACACTGACAGCTGTTCACATAGGTAGGTGAAATGACTTCAGACAAGACTCACTGGAGTCAAGCTCAAAACAATAGAAACTGATTCTTTGTGCTGTTGGTTCTCAGGATTCACCTAGTGACAGCAGAGAAATCTCTTGGTAAGCATATCCCCAACAGAAGGTGGTTAATTCTATAGTTTTCTTCTCCACCCTCCCCCAGCCTTATAGTGACTATTAGAAAAGAGATACTGGATTTAGATGGACTCTTGATCCGATTGTGTGGCATTTCTGTACTCTCTACTTATTATTTTTAATCTAGAACTATGACTGGTTACACATATTAGTGTCAGTACCTGTAACCTTATACTGGTGTAGGCAAAGGGATGTATTTCTAGATGCCAATGGAGCTGTACATTAGGTGTAGTTAACTTGGTCTTTGGTCCTTGCTTCAATTTTATGTTGCTTTCTTGTGTGATAGATGTGAAAGATCCATATCCTTGATCATGACAGTGTATCTCTGCAGGAAGCAAATCACATATAAAGAGCCCATACATTTCTGAGATGCTGTGTGTGACTAGGTTTGGGCTGTTTCATACATTCTATGTAGGAGTGTGGTTCAGTGATAAATAATAAACAGAGACGTAGGAGACGTGCTGTTCTGGGCTCTGCAATGGTCTTGTTAATGGCTTGTAATGAACAGACCTGCTTCCTTCAGTCCCCTGTCTCTTTCCCTTCAACCCATTTTTCTTAACTATGTCCACTGAAATAGCAACTCTCCAAGACAGAGCTTAGTGTGTTTGTGTGCATAGCCTTGTCATTGGTCTTGAGTGCACAGAACCCCTGTTAGCTGCTTCTCATCTGATAATGATGAGAAGCCTCAGAGACATCATTTTGCATTTGTTGGAAGTATAAAATTTTCTAGTTTCTTGCCTCCCCCACTCTTGTTCAACCAAGTTACTGTCCATCTTGCATTAAAATAACCTTCATTTTTAGGATACCAAAAATTAAATGGTCTAAGTAATGTAAATTGCTTATGGTGTCCTATTTACTTTGTGAAGCTGTTGGACTGTGATCTTAATTTCTATTGTGTGTGCTGGGATTCAAGTAAGCACTTAATACATCCTTTCAGCACATCTCCAACAGCTCCTAACTTGACTTTCTTTATAAATTGTAGTTTCTCTATGTTGTTCTCTGTTTTTACTTTTTTGTTGTTGTTGTTATTGCTGTTTTTTGTTTGGTTGGTTGGTTGGGTTTTTTTTAATAGGACAAATTGATTTAGCTATGAAGGAATGGGCTGTGCTGGCTAGTTTTGGGGTCAGTGTGTTCCATGTTTAATATTAATTGCACGTAATATGAAAAACATCCGACTCTACAGCTGTTTCTAGGTCTTCAGTAAGGTGAATTCTGTGACTGAGCAAATCAGCTGGGTGATTTTCTTCTGTCAGAGGACAGAGAAGTAAGGGAAAACATGGCTCAGGAGTATGTGCTAGTTAAGGTGCTTTAGCTAAATCAATCTAGCTAAAGCATCTTAGCTGAGGTTTAGTCAAGGGCCCCTCAGCTAAAGAGCTTTAGCCAGATCAGTGTAGCTGAAGTTATTTGGCTAAATTGGTCCATTTAGCCTTATATTCCCGGCTTTTTTGCTAAGACTTTACCCTGCAAGGGAATCTAGAGGCCAGCCCAGGTTTAGAAAATGATTGCAGAAATGCTCCTTGAGTAAAGAAAAGACAGGTCTAGTTGTACATGCACATTTAGCCAGTGGCTTATCTCCTACACAGTCCATTTACCCAATAGACAGTTTATCAGGTGGAAATTCCTGATTCACCTTTTGTTTTCATTTTTTTCCTCAATGTGATATTTGGATTTTTGAAACCATATTGTAGATACGTGGGAAACTTCCCTAGAAGGTTTTATTCCTCTGGGGATGAGATCTATTTTAATTTCCTTGCCTTCTAAAGAACAAGAAATACCTGTAATTAATGCACTTTGAAGTTAGTAATTATATAACTGTTGTATTGATGTGAAGCTTTTTCCTTCTAACCTAAAAGGTGGTTGTGGTTCAGACTGTCACTTGTCTGAGAGGGAAGCGTCTGGAAAAATTGCTGTGCTGCAGTGCCAGGCTGGCAGCTCACAGGGGTGAGAGAGCCTCAGGGTGTGCCTGCCCTGGGCAGGCCAGAGCTTTATTTATATTAGAATTTATATAGAATTTATAGTAGAATGCAAATGGATGCTTCTAGAGGAACATAACAATCATGCTGCCTCCATCCTTCCCTGTCCACATTCCCTTTTTTCTCTGCATGGTGCTCAGTTCTAACGAAATGGCACAGTAAGAGACTATTGGGCAGTACTGTCCTCAGCAGAGGATTTTGCTGGTGGAGAAAAGGAGAGTTGTAAATGGAGTCTCTTGTCCCTTTTCAAGCTTCCTGCTCCATGTCTGTCCTCACTAAAGACTAGGCACTGGGGAACTCCATTAGGGTGATGAGGCCATCTTTTCCTTATGCCATGTAGAGTCCCTGTCCCAAACAGCCAAGGCATTAACAGCCATCTCAGACCTAAATGGCACTTACAGCTCTGCTCTGACCCCTTGGGGTAACAAGGAGAGATTTTTGCTCCCTATGACTGGGAAAAGGGTGGACTCATGGTGGAAAGCTTTACACTCTGCCTCCAGCTCTTGAGCTTCTTCACTTGTTTGGTTATTTTGCATGGAAACACTATAGGCAGCATTATTGTTGGTCTGCAACAGAGAATTAGGAGGCTGAAAAGAAATGCAGCAGCAGACTGGTTTGCACTGGAAAAGGTGTGAGATGAGGAAAACCAGTGTGAAACAATTTTGATATCACTTTGTACAGAACGTGGCTGGGACTTAGTCCCACTGCCATACTGGAATATTGCAACTCCTTACTAAACTTTACCTTTGAAAGAGCTGCCAAAAGACTTCTGTGGCTGCGAGGCAGAGGATGTTTTGGTGGGTTTTTACGCTACTGAAATGGGTTTAGCAAATTAAGAAGGAGCATATTGGCAGCTGGCTCAAGCCTCCCTCTGATAATGCTGCTGCTGTTACATTTGCACAGAACTCGACCACCTCTTGTGAACAAAATCATGCTCGCTGCAGTGATGTAGAGCTACGAAGACAGGTTTAGGTGAGCAAAGTGGAGAATTTCTAAGGGAAACGTGGCTTATGTTATTGTCACAGTGGCTCCAAAAACCTTTGGGTGGCGCCATATTCAGCCTGAAAAATATAGCTGCACTCTAACCTATGAAAAATAGCCACTGGAAGCAGTTCTGAAACTTTCTTTAGATAACTCCAAGTCTACTCTGTCTCTTTGGTGCTGTATTATTTACATTGAGGGTTTTTGTTTTTTTATTTCAGTCAAAAACTAAACCCAAGAGAGTAAAAGCAATTTACAACTGTGTAGCAGATAACCCAGATGAGCTGACTTTTTCAGAGGGAGATATTATTGTAGTTGATGGTGAAGAAGATCAGGAGTGGTGGGTGAGTATTTTGCATTTTCTGTCAACACACTTTAAAAGAAAGAAATTAAATCTTAGAGGTTGGCACTCATTTCAGAAGATCCCCTGCTGGGTTTCCAAATAACAAGAAAATGTTATTTGTTAATAACAAGCTTTCTTGTGGAAAGCTGAGATGAAATTCCAAAAGTCAAACTTCATACAAGGTTTTAGCTTTTCTCATTCAGAAAAAAAAAAAAAAAAAAGTTTAGTAGGGTTCACAATACACTGGGGACATGGTCTGCATGATCCAGAAAATTTTTGGTGTCCTGGTTTGGACAGACTCCCACTTTTGGAAGGAAACTTCCAAAAGGATGTTCCCTAAAGGGCAGAATTCAATGGCCCTTCCCCTCACCTGTTCAGTAGATAAACCTCCCTTTCAAGGAAAGTGGAAAAAACTGTTTATTTAACTTGAAAAGTACTCAGAAACATGAAAAATTAATCATATTAAACAATAAAACCTTTCACTGTTCTGAAGAGAAAGTCCTTCTCGTGGGCTGTAGCTCAGCTCACTCAGTCTCTTACCAGTCCTTCCTGTGCTGGAAAATGCCGTCTCCTGGGCCCCGGTTGGCCACAGGCGTGAGCTCCTGGTGTTTTCTGGGTTTCCATTCCAGAGCAGGGCTGAACAGTTCCAAGGAAAAGAAAAGCCACAGCCCCACAGGGGAACTTCTCTTCCTCAGCCAGCTAAAAAAACTAACTCAAAAGCAAAGGAGAGCTCTCTCCTGTTGTTTGTCCATGCTGCAGACAACACAGTCTGTGAGAAGGAAAGCTGAAGCTCTTATCTCTGTTTTGAATACAACCACCTCAGACATTCCACTGCTTCTCCTTCTCCCCTGCTTTGCTCTTAGATCAAGTTTTAAAGGTGCAGAACTTGTTTCTGGGGTAAACAGACAGATGGGGATACAAATACAATACAGCATTATAAGGTCACTTCAGGACAGTGTCGGAGAAGAGTTTTGTATTGTCCTCAGTCTTCAGATGACTAGGACTGAGTGTATTTGAGCTGGGAAACCATCTCAAGTATTTACATTCCAGAGTCTCATTGGCTAAAGCAAAATCTTGGAAAATTATTGTGCATGAAAACACTTGCCTTAATCTTCAGGCTAGTGGAGAGCTTCAGATTGCATCTAAATTGACAATAATGCTGTATAAACACAAATAGATTTATGTAAAACCTGAAACTGTTGAAGTTTGATCCATCCTTTGGCCTCACAGTGATGGTTAAAGAAGCAACTCGACAGAGGCCAAATATGGGCTGCCAGGCATTACAGATTGCACTGAAATTATGCAGCAGTGGTACTGCAGTAACATGTTTTATATTCAAAGAACTGGATAAAACTTTTGCATTTGACAAAAGCCCAACCTACAGCTGAAAAACATGCACCTGTAGGACTGAATTTTCCTATCGGCAAAAGAAAAGTAGCACTACCACAGAAAAGATTTGGTGGGAGGCTTGTACTATGGGCAGGAAGGTCACTGGTATTCATTTTAGTGATACTGAAATGTCATTTCAAGATTTAACTTGAAAAATATCTGGACTTTTTCAGATTGGTCATATTGATGGAGATCCCAGTCGGAAAGGAGCTTTCCCTGTATCATTTGTGCACTTTATTGTTGACTAGATTGCTACTGATAAGTGGAGACATTTCTCACTTCCAGCAGTCACAGAAATAAGTTTTGTTCTATTTCATTTCACCTACCTATCTGCAGCCACCTTGCCAGAGCACTGCCCAAGTCCTAGGTACTGTAGCTTACTTTTTTATTGCCATCGTTCTGATTTTGGGACTTTTAAACTTTTTTCTACGTGGAAACTTCTCATAAGTAGTTTACACTTTTAAAAAAAAAACCTCTTCCTGTATTTTTTAAGGTGAACTGAAAAGCTTTAACAATCAAAATCCATGTGTCTGAATATGACAACATTATGAATGTTCTTATCGATCAATTCACTGTAATTTTATTCTCCCTTTTGTAACATGACAGTACAACAGTTCAGTGTTGCTTCCCCAGTCAAAGAAATTGTGTGTGCATCTACCAGGGCAGTGAATTTATCCAGTTCTTGACACCATTTGAAGTGTTGGAACCAAAGCATGCAAGCTGCTGCATAGTTCTGAAATGGACTCATTCAGTAGCTTGCCATACTGGCTGTCATCAAGGATGCCAACAGTTGCAGAAAGAATTGTTCTAATTATGTGTCTTTGGCCAGGTGAAAGTGAAAAAGTATTTCAGTTTACCACAGGAGAAACTTCTTTCTTTCAGAATGGATGTAGATATTTGCTTAAAGTTATCTGAAATGTGTTAGTTGTTGAACTTTCTAGTTCTAATTTTGTGAGCTTGAGACTGTTTTGTTTTTCTATGCTGCATGTGTGTAGAACCTGTTTTTTGAATGTTCTTTATGTATGTTACATCCATTTTGGTCATTTAATGTGACTACTGCTGGTTAACTAAACTATGGCAATATTAATGAGTTACTACATTAACTCAAGGATTTGAAAACTGCACTTCCTGAAATGTACTTAACTATGATGATGGATTGCAGAACATTTCTTACACTTGTCTCATTATAGCATTTAGACTTTGTTTTTAAATTCTTGAATTTTCTTTAAATCATCCAGCAATGTGTTCACAGAGAGAACATATTTGGTGGAACACTTAGGTAATTATCCTTGGTCAATAAGATACCTGACACCTCACAAGTTCACTACGTTATGTTCTGGTTTATGAAATTTGTGTGCCACTACCTTGCAAACAATGATAGTTTGCCAACTCACTCTGTATTTATATGGAATACCCACATATATGGTAGCTACACTGTTGTTAAACTTGTTTTACTGATTTGTGAACAAAAGCTAGGCCATGGATAGTTCCCAGTTGGTTGATGATCCGTCAATACGGACCTGACATCATTTTGATGTTTGTATATTGTGAAATTGTACCAGGTTTTGCTTATGCTACAGGAAACAACTGAGGCATAGGATACAGAAAATCAATGTCTAGGTCACATTGGCTTTGATCACGTTATGTGAACATTGTATCTCTAGATTTATCAAGAGAGCTTTGAATTTCTGGCAAATGGTGCTTAAATTGGCCATTTCATATTGGAAGGAATGGAAACAGGCCACCACCACCATCTGTACTTATTTGGAGAAAAACCACGTTGAGAAAGTGCTGGAAGAGCAACACTGATCTCACCCTGTATCACCCTTCCTGAATGGTACCGTTGGTTGATGCCTCTCGGGCGTGTGGGTACAGCCACGTAGATGTGTAACTTTCACCTCCTAGGTGCTGTTGCTGCAGTATAAATGGGGAACAAACTGGAATGTTTCAAAATATTTTTATTGCAAGTTGAAGCAAATTAGTCTGTATTTTCAAATTTCCCAGTAAAATGATAGAGTAATAGTTTAGCACTACAGTTTTATTCACTTACCGATACGTTCAGTTTTCAACACTATTTTGTATGTTTCTATCCCTGATAGAGTCTAGAGAGTAAATGGGCATATTATTTTGCACAGATCTCCTAATGTACAGTATTTTTAACACAGAATCTTATAGTGTATGTAACAATTCGTAACATTAAAAAAAGATACAAATTTCCCTTTAGTTCTGCTAGAAGAGGAATAGAGTAAAATGTCACAACTTTGTTCACCAGTCACTTAAAAACCAGGAAACTTGTAGACTACAACTTAATAGCACTAACAGTGCAGACAGATAAAATCCCAAGGACCAATAGAGCAGCTAAACAAAATTTATCCCTAGATTTTCTGTGTTTCTCAAAAGTTTTTCTCCTCTAGCAGAGAAAAATGAAATTCTAGAGCCTGTAGATATCTATTTATAATATAAAATTAAGAATTTTAAGTCCAAAATTTTGGCATATTTCATACAACTTTGCAAATCTGATTCAAAAAAATCTGTTAATAGACAGACTATTAGGTTGCTGTGTTAACTGTTTAAAAAGGAGCAAATGACACTTAAAATGCAGCTTAGAATGCTATGAGATGTATAATATTCAATTCAGTTGTTTTTATTTTGTTTAGTTGCAGAGCAACTGTATATATTGTATAACCTAAAATCAACTCTTATTTTCAATGTCCTGGATGCAGTGATTTATAATTAGAGCATGATTAATAAATTTTACTCTTGTTAACCAGTCAAATGTCTGGAAAAATAAAACTACTTTTAAAATCACTTTTTCTGCTTCTCTTCTGTTCCATTGCATTGCTTATGCAATATTGTTCTTTTTAATATATAAAAATGATAAATACAAGTATCACTTGAGGAAAAAAATGCATTTCTTGTGAACTTCAGTTGAACAGAAAAACTGTAGCTGGCACACTTGAGATTAAATTAGAGGGGTAGAGCACCAAGTAACTCCCTCTTACCACTTTGCTTTTGTTTTCTTTTAATACCTGGGTTAAGCAGAATCAAAGTCTGTATTAACAAATTGTTTCTCAGACAATGAGGTAGAAGCAAGTGTCAGTTTTATTTTACATTTCTGCAATATTGACATTAACATACAAAACATGAAAAAGAGAATTGTGTTAAATATAAAATTCTGTAATGTCCTGGACACTGAAGATGGAATCTTCAAGTCATGTCTGGGGAATGGCAGAGTACCATGTGCAAGGTTGTGTGGCTCTTCTTTGCACACTAAGTCTTTCCTAGGACTGTGTGTGGCTCCAAGCTGTCCATGGTGTCACGAGAAGCCCCAGTGCCTCCCACACAAACACTGCTGCCGAAGGAAATCAGGACTTCTCCGACATTAAAACTGAATCAAAGGCTGTAGACAACACTTTGCAAATAGCTTGTGCTTGTTCCTAAAAAACCCAAACACACGTTAACACTTTCTGAAGAACTTCTAAACTTCTCAAAATTCACTTAAACAGAATGTGTCCTTCATTTTGCTTTGTGAGACACAGATTTCATCTGTCTAGTCTGCAATGACAAGTGGAAGCTGTCTTACATGAGCTCTTTTGAACCATGTCAGAGTTGCTGGCTGTCAGCACAGCACAGCACCAGCATTCAGAAAGTCATTTATTGTGTTCCCCAGCCATGCCACCCAAGGGTCTGTGTCATCAGAGCATCCTGACAATGAATTCTCCTACTCATAAGAATGGATCACCTCCCTTGCTTAAAAGTATGGCTGTATGCTCTATTACCAGAATTGTTACTCCATGCCTTCCTGCTACATATCTTAAGAGGTTTTTATCTTTGGAAATACAAGTGGAGATTGTCCATAGGAGCTGCCATAGCACTTTTTAGACTGGAGATAGCTTTCTCAGGTGAGTACAGTCACTGGCAATTTTAGGGAATGTAGGTGTTTTCCTCAAAGCTGATCCAGTGTAGGCAGCAGGGCTGTTTTCCCCTCCTCAGCCAGTACACGTTTATAGCTTTTTTTTTTAAACTGAGCAATCCTCCTTCTGACAAAAAGCCTTCACAGGGGCCTTGGATTATAGAATCTCCTTTTACAAACAGAATTCTAATACCTGATTTAAACACTGAAAGCATAAACTCTTACCAAACTATTGCACTGATAAACCCAGAGGCTGCATTCTTCAGAGGCTGCATCTGTTGTCTTCAAAGCCAGTAAACTTTTTCCTGCTCCCAGCCCATCATCATAGCACACCATCCGTACAATCAAATAGAGAGCATGCCTATGTAACACATCCTGAAAGAATATGGAAAATAGAAGTTACTCTGGAACAGTGCAACAGATATTTCAGTTTTCCACATTTTTGGTCTCACTTACAAAAGAATATTCTAGATTTATTTACAGGAGGAAAGTTTTAATTGGTAGGGTTTTTTTTTTTTACTGATAAAAAGTTAAGGTTAACCACAAGTTTAGCTTTAGTTTTTGCTTCTATTTTAGAAGTGCCTTCCTATGTGGACTATGAAGACAAGCTGAGAGAGTTGAAGAGAGAAAGCTCTTGGGGAGACTTTGGGGTACCTTCCAGTACCTGAAGGGGGCCTGCAAGAAAGCAGGAAAGGGACTTTTTACATGGGCATGTAGTGACAAAAATGGGATTCAAATGGCTTTAAACTGAAAAAGAGTAAGTTTATAGTAGGCTATTGAATTTAAGGGAAGAAATTCTTTACTGTGGGAGTGGTGAGGCACTGGAACATGTTTCTCAGAGAAGCTGTGGATTCTCCATCCCTGGAAGTGTTTGAGGTGAGGTTGGAAGGGGCTTTGAGCAACCTGGTCTAGTGGAAGGTGTCCCTGCCCAGGGCAGGGAGGTTGGAACTAGAGGATCTTTCAGATCCCTTCCAACTCAGCCCCTCCCATGATTCTATGATGACATTCCTGACCATAATTTGAAAGGGCACATTTGCTTCCCATCAACCCTCACTCACCCTCTGTGACAGCTGGGACACTCTGTCCTTCTGGCACAGAGGTAACTTAAAACTTTCCCAATATTTTTCCAGAGAATCCCCTGTCTCAGTCTTGGGAAGGATACACACAAGAAACTGTTCCCAGAAGAGGGTTTAGACAAGGTCAGTTGCTTTGGGGGGCAGTAGCCACGTAGCTGTTTGTGACCAAAGCCACATGATGTGTCCTGACTCTTCCACAGATCTCATCTGAGAGAATTCTACTCTCCATCAGAACTGCAGGATTTCCATCATAGTCCCAACACTTCTGATTTTGGCCATTCCAGAAAGGGATTAGTAGAAGACGCCCAGTTCAAGGTTTCTGCAGCCCTACCCTACACAAAGCCTTTCTCCTCCAGCCATCCTGCCCTCTGATATTACTGATCCAGTCTATTCCAGTCATACCATCTCCAGGGTCTTAGGAATTCTAGACAGCTCTGTTTCTGTGCTCATTGCATCAAACACCTGTCTCTGT